TCCTAAATTTCCTTCCCCCAACGTCAACTTCCGACAACGATCCCGACGCCGTCCGAATTTCGATCTTCGTTTTGAAACCACCATCGTGTTCGTTATCGAGTCAGGAACAATTCCCTTAAATTAATTGAGGTGAAACTCTACCAAACGTTGTGAATTTCAAGTCAAAGCCTCGACCTTTTTTTTAGCACAACCGCCTAGAAAATCCTAAATTTATCGCCGATCGTTGCTTCGTTTTCGACACCTCTCGTACCATCGTGTTCCTTGTGCCGTTCCGAGTCCACCGGTGTCCTCTTTTTCTTTGGCGACGGCGGCGCGTGTGGAGGTGAAGCGGTCAAAGTTTATGATTTGTTGAAATCGAGCTCTTCGCCGTTCAAAAATTTGAACCAAGCTTTGTAAGTATCTCGAAATCGCTCAAAATAATTTTAGAAATTTTTCTCGTGAATTTTTCGCTGCCAGAAACAATCCCACTGCGCGTGGGGAAGCTCAAAATGATCGGTTTGATCGATTTTGACCCGACTCGACCCGTTGACCGAGTGACATTTTGGTAATTATTTGAGAAATGGTGCTATTCTGGTAATTATTTTGAAAAGAGTTCTATTTTGTAATTTTTTTTAAAAAAGAGATAATTTTGTAAAATTTTTTAAAATAGTGATATTTTAGTAATTATTTTGAAAATGATGTTATTTTGGTAATTAATTTCACAATGGTGCTATTTTCGTAATGTTAAAAAAATGTTAATTTCTTAAAATGGTTGACCACTTTGACCATAACTTTTACCGGCTTTGACCAGCCGTTAATCTTTTTCGAGAATATCTATCCCAACATTTTTTGATGTTTCGAATCCGTTTTTGGGGTTCGTTTTACCAAACTCGAACCCGAAAGTCTTCAAATCGTCAGTCAAACCCAATGACTTTGATTTTGATCAAGAATTCAAATTTTTGGAAAGTCATATTTTATGTGTTTCGACGTCCTGAATCTGATTCTGAAGTCTGTTTTGCCAAATTCTGACCCCGAAATCTCCGAATCGAGCATGTGAACCTTTAAAAGGCTTAGTATTTTAGTATTTTGATTATTTATTTGAGATTTGGTTAAGGAATTGATTCAGTAAAATATTTTATGAATGTACTGGTGTTTCACTTGAGCGAGGATCACTTAGGTCCGGAATTGTCCGTTCGTCAGATCAGCCCGAACCGCGTACTACAAGAATTACCCGTAGGTTTCCGTATATTATTTAAATAAAGATTAAGATTATTTATATATTAGGATTCCAATATGGAATTTTCCAATTCGTATGATCTAGCGCTGCAGCAGAGCGTGATCGACAGACCCATTAGTAGGCTTCCCTATCTGATTTCTCAGACTGTTACAGGTGTGTTTCCTGAAAGTGTTATCTTACAGTTTTAAACTATATATCTGAACTGATTTATATTATGAGAATATAATATATTTTATGAGGAAATATTCGGTATTTTGAATAAGGTTTATTTAATAACTGATTTATCGTTTTTAGTCCAATGCATACATGTTTATTTTTTTCATTGGGGGTACAATTGAAGGAAGTATTACCAGGTCCCTTTGTTGTGTGCAAAGGTAAGCATTACAGTTTACCAGGTCCCTTTGCTGTGTGCAAGGGTAAGCCTTACAGTTCCCCAGGTCCCTTTGCTATGTGCAATGATAAACCTTACAGTTTTTCTAGGCTTCTCTGCTTTGTGCACAGGTTAAGCCTTATTGGTGTATAGGTGGTGTACGGTTCAGGTGAACCTACACATTTTGGTGATTGGATGGGGGTAGTGTGCATATTATTAAAATATATTTGATAAATTGTTTTATCTTATCTGAATTATTTTGTTATGTATGTGTTATACACTGTAAGAGGCACACTGGGCTTTTTATCTCATTTTATAGTTTTTACCTTTTTCAGATAACAACAGACCGTAAGCTAGCAGATTTGGCATCATGGGAAATCAACTACTTATTTTGTACTAACGTATATCTCTATATGTTTTTCAGTTGTGTTTGGTGACATGTATTACTCTATCGTTTTGGATATATTTGTATTATCGATATTTTGTTTAGTATTACCTGTAATGTTTTATAAGTTGTTTTAAAAAAAACTGAATGGGACATATGACCACTTAGGTTTGAGTCTAACTTACAGACCGGTCTAGGGGGTTACATAAATATTTGATATAATATCAAAAATAGCCTTCTAATATTTGGTATAATATCAAAAACAACCTTCTAATATTTGTTTGAATGATTATTTTAGTATTAATTAATTCTTTTTCAAGAGTATTTTAATCTTCAATATTTTAATTTCTTGTCCAATTCATTTATGTTAGATGGAAACTATTAGTTGACAAATGATCAATGCATGTAATTGACATGACATTTTTATATACATGTTAAATTGTTAATGTATCACATTACATGTGATGATGGCGTGACATGTTCATATCACTTAAGGCGATGATATGATATATATCATATCACTTAAGGCGATGATATGAGATATATCACATCACTTAAGGCGATGACATAACATATGATAAGTCATTTAAGGTGATAATGTGACAAGTGTCTCATCATCAAATATTATAATGTGACATGTTTCACGTTAACTAAGAAGATGACATGACATATAACACATCACCCAATGTAATAATATGATGTGTTATGTCATTTAATGTGAAATGCGATGACATCACACGAATCACGTCAGCTATTAAACACATATGTGAATTCACGTTAATAATATGCGTTGATTGTTAGTCAACTAACATATTTTGTGCAATGGAGATCATTTTGAACAATTGAAACGTTAGAGACTAAAATGCTCCAAAAAAGAATAAAGACTAAAGTGACCACTCGTATAAACATTAGGAGGCTAATTTTGACATTATACCTAGAATCTTTATAATAAATTATCAAATTTAGGAGTCAATGTAATCAAATTTGTCAAATTTAAAGATTAAGTTAATTAAATTTATCATGTTTAATGACTAATTTCATCACACTTGCTAAGTTCAAGAGTCATTTTGTATTTTAAGCCCATAAAATATAAATCCTATTTAATAATTTATGTTGTAATTATTGTTACACTATTAATGTAACCAACATGTTTGCATAAATTGCCATATCTAATTTCCTACTTTGTTTTATTGTGAAACTAATCACTTGAACAATATTACTAATATCAACTAAGCTTATTTGTTTTTATATTTAATATATATTTTTATTTTGAGGACTGACTTTGTTTTAATTTTATGATCTTGATTTTTAAATTACATATTTCCGGACCATGTACTATCCCTTTCACAAACCTTTTTTTAATCCCAATTGTCCTCAACAAGAAATTAAAAACATAAAAAAATTAAATTGATGATCGAGTTTTTAACTTTTTGATATAATTTTATTTTATTCTTAATGACTAATTTATATATTTTGATGATATTAAAAAATTATATTAATATAATTAATCTATAATTTTTATAGGCTTTCCTTACACTTTTATTTTATTTTCTGTTTAATAAACTAATTACTATTATTAACGAATAATATGTTATTTATTTCAACTTTACCAGCTGATTTAGAGCTGTATATGGTCACAAGCTATTAATAACCCCATCCTGACAAAAAAATATATTTTGTTATCAACAAAAAGTTTAAGTGAGGGTCTGATTACCTCAATTTAGAGTAAACAAAAATCATATTCGGAGAGAACTAAAAAATATTTTTACAAATTGTTTATTAAGTTAAGTTATTAAGCCTCTAAATTCGAGACTCATATTATATAAATTGTATGTGACTTTTCGTCTTATTTTTATACAGATGGTCTTCGTATTTGTTATGATTTAAGTCTAGATTTATTATGATTTTAACTAATAATAATAGTCAATTTTATTGAATAAAGATAAATTATAATAAAATTATAAGAAACACTAATCATATTAACTCACCATTAATATTAACATAAAATGTATATAAAAATAATTTTATATTGACAAATAAATTTATTATATCAATCATGATTTGTTTTTGGTGATTACGAGAGTCATAATTATTTTTAAAAAAATGATTATGACAACGAGTATCTCTATTAATATAAAAGAATCAATTTGAGCGTATAAGATAATGATATACTAATAAGATATCCAAATAAACAATAAGTAAGGAGATAACATCAATTCTAATCTTAAAGAAGATAAAATGTGTTACACTAGCATGAAATATGTCTAATTTTATAAGTGTTATGGAAATTATAAGAAAATCTATATCATGATAGAAGGTGGTGAGATGAGTTCATCGGTGTATATACAAATGAAAATAAAAAATATATAAAAATAATATTATATAGAATTTTATTAACAATGATTATTGATGTAATGATAAACAACTTTATATAAATTGTAATTTTATTATTTATTTAAAATTTATATAAAAACATAAAAATAAAATATTAGTATAACCAATAATATTAATTTTGGATATAAAATAAAAATTACACTACAAACCTTTAATCACGAATCCCTCATATATTAGTAAAATAAGTTAGAGTCATTAGAATAGGAGTAGTTTGAAAGTTAAGTGATTAAATAAAAAAAACTAAATTTCAGTAACTAAAACAAAAGTGAGTAGATAATTGAGAAATGAATTTACCTATAAAAAAGTTTCACGTACAACAGTTCCATTTAATTTTAACGACGGAGTACCAAAAATGAAATTTTGACTAAACGTTAAGTATGATTTAAAAAAAAATAAATTTGAAATACCAAAACAGAACAAAAGTAATAGTTTAGGTATTAAAATTGTAGTTTACCTTTATAATTATTCAAATATTAGATTATTATTGTAATTATAATCGCAGCTGCAATCTAGAAAAAGAACATTTGACTAGTTTCCGTAAGTGACGTCACTTCATCTTGAGACAAACACTTACCTCTTCCCAACGAGGAGAAGCAAACAACTCTCGTTCAGAGATACAGCTCCACTCTTGTCCTTGTCTCATTTTTAATTGTTTTTTTTTTGTCTCTTCTTCTACCGGTGTTTGTTTGATATATTTATAAATACGATTTTCTTGGGTGGTGGTTGAAGGATGCATAGTGGCGGTGGAGGGATGGTGGCGATGAGGCCACCATCACCATTTACAGTGTCACAGTGGCAAGAACTGAAACATCAAGCTTTGATCTTTAAGTATATGATGGCAGGTTTGCCAGTGCCATCTGATCTTCTACTTCCTATTCAGAAGAGCTTTGAGTCCATTTCTCATAGGTTCTTTCACCCTCCTACCAGTAAGCACAGAATTAATTTATTTTCTTCATTTTTTAAAACCCTCTCGTTCTCTTTTGAAGATTACATGTGGTTTATTTATTAGTGTTCTTTTGCCCTCTTTTCTGGGTTTGTTTTGTTTTGATTTGAGGGAAAGTTTTTGTTCTTTTTTTCCCCTTTTGGAAAACACAGGCAAGATTCAAGAATAATCAGATTTTCAATCAATGATTTCATCATTTTAATGAGTTTTAAGATAAACTTTTTGATATACATGACTAAATATTTGATAAAAATTCATGGATGTTTTTTAGTTCCAATGGATGAATTAATGACTTTGAAGTTTGAAGACCGCTGAAATCACATTTCAAGGAAAAATATTGGCCCCTTTTCCTTGTTTTCTCGAAATTCTTACAGATAAATTCCAAACATGTTTTTTATTTTATATATGTTGTTGGTGTCTTAATCATAAAATCTTATATCACTTTTCACATGTTTTATTCTTATTATGGTATATATTAAATTTTGATAATGTTATTGTTATTATTTTGTCGATTCCATTGTTGTTGGTTTTGTATTTTATTCATCAAGGAACATAAATTTCTTCATGTTTGTTCATGAAAAACCTTGTTATGAATCCGGTTCGAGTGTACTTTTGCAGTGGGGTATTGTTCCTTTTATGGAAAGAAGGTGGATCCCGAGCCGGGACGTTGTAGGCGGACTGATGGTAAGAAATGGCGTTGCTCGAAAGATGCATACCCGGACTCGAAATATTGCGAGCGCCATATGCATCGTGGCCGTAATCGTTCAAGAAAGCCCGTGGAATCACAAACTATGACACAGTCATCAGCCACTGTTACATCGGTGACTGTTTCCGGTTGCACCGGTGAGACGGGAAGCTTCCCGAGCCTTCCATTACATGCTTTTGGTAGTACACAAGTTACTGCTTCCGCAGCGGGTCTGTCCGATGATAATCTGAAGTCGATCCCATATGGAATCCCGAGGAAAGATTATAGGTAAATTCATCTTTTGTGGTTCGTTTAACATAGTTTCATTCTTAGCACATCATAGGAAATATCAAATCATTTCATCGTCTTTCATTTATGGTAATTCCTACACAGATCGAGAAATGGATCATAGTTTTGTTTCAATATGTTAACCTTTTTGACTGTAAATCGATGGAAATATGGATTGCAGTATAAGTTTCGGATGTTTTATAGATGTGGTATGGGTACGGAATAAAACATTTGTTGGTCCCCTATTTCTTAGATTGTGCGTTAGGAGTGAAATTGTAGATTGCTTCTCATTAGGGTAATGTAGATCTTGTAGAAACTTCAAAAGGTTTCTGTTAAGCTCAGAGTTCCGGGCCCTGGTGTCCTCAAAGATGGATGATGAGTTCAGTAGATGTTGCTTCTGAATCTGTTCTTCACTGACAGTTGGCTTTTGTTCGTTTTTGTTGTCTGATGACCATGAGAAATTGTCGATAGCATGCTACGACATGTGGAATTATTCACTCTTTCTGTTTTTGCCTAATGGGATGAGTACTTTTTTGCAGAGTTTGATTCCAGGATTGCTTATAAAATCTAGAACAAACAAAAAGGAAACTACTATTTCACTTCCGAGTTCCGTATTTTGGGAAAATTGTTGTACAAAGCCGAAAACTGGGTTAACCTTTTAGATTCTGAATGTGTCAAACAGTCCGCCTACTAGGTCCTAGGTCCGTCACAAGGTACATGGTGATATATAAGTCTTAGTACCATTGTACTTCTTTGTTAGTCTTGACTTTCAGAAACATAATTCTTATCTGGAATGAATTACCGAGTTGGTATATTCCTATGGTGCGGATAATGGATTGGTTCCATGTAACTTTGTTTTTAAAGTTATTGTGATTTTCAGGGTTCGGGACCCTTGTGCCCATTATTTCACCGTCGAATTCCATTGTCACAGCAGAGTGTTTTTTACCGTCTCTTTTGAGTCCGTTTCCTTCGTTTAATTCAGCGAAATTCATGAAAGGCATTCTGAATTACTGGCATATCCGTTTTCTGTGAAACAGGAAAGAATCATACGAAAAAGTAGATTTTGCTTTCACAGTTGTTAGAACCTTGATAGCAAGACTTGGTAATTCAGCTGTAGCTCAAAATTACTTTTGCCTGCAAATTTATACGCGGTCTTCATTGTTGGTAGGTTATTCTAGACCAGACAATTCGTTTATTCTTGTCGTGTTTGTGTTTTTTTACCATGTCGTAGTCGTGTTTTTTGTATTAGATATTCCGTAAATTCCGGTTATTTTATATAGCCTCTCGATCTTACTAAAGTTCAGACTTGTATGGTGCAAATTTATATTGCATTATCATTTGTACCAAGTTCCATGATATCTTCAATTTTGCTATTCGGTTTATATTGTCCGGATTTAGTCATTTGTTCTAATGTGTTTTACTCGATTATTTTGAACACGTAGGTATCTTCAAGGAAGTAAACCCGAGGTCAGTGGGCATAATATTTCCTTTGAAGCTTCTGGGAGCAACAATGACGCATGGCCTCAAATGTACCCTAGAGTCTCGTCGTTCGTTCAGCCAAAAACCGGTAGCAACCCGATCTTCCGGACTGATTACCCCCAGCGTTCATTTTTCAGCAATTCCAACCCAGGAGGAGCCGAGAAGCACGAGGGTCAGTCTCTTCTACCATTCTTTGACGAGTGGCCTAAAACCAGAGACACCTGGTCAGCTCTCGAAGATGACAGATCCAACCAGACCTCATTTGCTACAACACAGCTATCGATATCCACTCTGATTGGGTCATCCGACTTCTCCACAACTAGTTCTCATTCTCTGCACGATGAGTTTCAAACTCCATAGTTCCCCCTCGGATGTCCCATTCATATGAAACTCTGAAACCCGCATTCGAATAGCTTAATGAACAAAAACTCGAAACTTCCCTGAACTCGATACAGTAGAAGGCCCGGAAAAAGTTCTAGCTACTTGACTAATGTTGGTACCCTTTGACGATTTCCCTTCAGCATGACTTTGTGTAGTATCAGTACACCGCGAGGTTCTGGTTTAAGGTGCAAGATAAAACAAAGTATTTCGTATATGTTTATGTATGTCGTCATACTATAATTACATTGCTATTTTACTTAAAAGTTCATTAATCTCATATTTAATCCTTAAATAGAAATTTTAACGGTTTGATTTTAAAAATTATATATATTTTAAAAATTATAATAATAATAATAATTGTTTTTAGCATTAAATAATCAAATTTCACTCCAAATTATTCGGTACAAAATCAGATTGAGACATGTTTTAAATTTATTTTGTACTTTATGGTAAGCTATGCTGTGGCCAAAGACATCAATGCTACACTTGATGGCAAGCAAAGTTGTTGAGGACATTTCATTTGTACACAAGAAATTCACTAAAACATCCAATGCTACGAGCTAAGTATCCATTTATCGTTTATATTTAATAATAGATGACAATATTTTTGGTGGTGTATAATGTGTCGTTCGTATTTTATATTCTATGATTGAATTGATTATTTTTCTAATAGTCTGAGATGATTATAAAGTAATGTATGTCTAATTTTTTTAATATGGTGATAATTCATATCCTGTAGACACTACTGTTCAAACTCATAACTTCTAAAAAGATTATTATTTTTTATTACTGATGTCACTTGATGAGTTTTAAGATTTATCATTTATATGAAAGAATCATAAATATATATGTTTTTATTAGAAAATAACTCACTTATATGTTCATTTTGTAAATATATGTTTAAAAGTTTGTCTTACCTATATATGTTTTTCCAATTAATTTTTACTGATTAGTGTTTTAAGGAAATTCCTTAATTAGTAGATCTACAAACAACTAAAAAGAATGAAAACTACGAACTTTTCTTCTTCCATCCATATGGCTATTTGAGTAGGAAAATATTTAAAATATTATAAAAAATAATTGTTATTTGTGTACAAATAATTATGAACAAATTTTAAAATGTATAGTTTTAATTTTTAGTATAAAACGATAAAAACATGATTGTTTTTTTATATATAAATATTAGTTATATATTATTTTTAAAATTAAATTGATATGAATTTGTATATATTAATTATTGGAATTGGCTTTATGCAAACGAGAGCGGATCTATCGAAGAGCTTGCTTTGGACTTGACAGTAAAACTCGTCGTTTTGTGGCCAAGGTTTTCATAACACTTTTCCTTTAATACCCCTCCACAACGTTGTTAATAGAGTTAAATATCTAGTTGGTATATTTATAATATCCTATTTCTCAATGTAATATATCTGATGAATCATTCAAAATATGTATATATAATTATATATATAATACATTTTAAAATATGTATAATAACTTTAAAAAATGTCTTTAACATTTGATTAAATAGTTATTTTAATCTTAAATAATTTTAGCCAAACGTTTCATTTTGGGACAAAAAGTCTCATTGTAGATGAAAATCGTTAGTCAACAAATGATTAACGCATCAAAATATGATTCTTTTTTGTTCTAAAATAAAAAGTTTGAGGTCAAAATACTCAAAAAATAAAGAATAAAGACTAAACTTCATATTTAGTCTGAAACGTTGAATTCTTTGTAGCCTAAAATAAAGCGTTGAAAGCCAAAATACTCCAAATATGTATATATATAAAAGGAACCATGTAATTAAAAATTAAAGTATTTTCTTTGATATTATACCTTTAAAATATTATATATTCTATTTGAAACATAATAATAATATTAGTTCTTCAAGATCTATTATTTCTTAATTTTAAAATTAGATATATATACTAAAAAATATTTAAAAAAAATCGATTTCTCCCTTATGCTATTGTCAATTTTAAAGTAGAAAATAAAAGGAAAACTTTTCCGATACAAAGATATTAATCTCATTTAGAACGAAATACTAGAATTTATCATTTTCATATTTTCTCTTCTCTTTTGTATTTTTCTCTTTTGACCTCGTCTTTTTTTTATCTTTTTTTTATATAATCAGAAATTACTGATTCTTTTTTTTACATATATAATTTTGAGATATTAGTTTCAGCCGCCCAGAAATATCAGAAGTAAAAAGAGTGATTTTTCTACTCTGTCCAAAAAAAGTGGGGAATTCACATTTGCTTGAAATAGTTCCCAAGTAATCGTTTTACGCCTTTGGGCACGCATAGAACCTTTTATTATGTCGAGGCGAAAATTCGATTGTTGCGAATAGCGTATCAAAGCTACTTCATCTTTTTGAGCAGGATCATTAGCATCCTTGGTATTAGTATAAGTATCGGCGTTTGCCTCGTTATTAGTAAAAATCAGTACGAGCTTGAATTTTCTTGAACGAATTTCATACTCTCTTGTTACATTTTCCTCGTTTTCTCCCTCTTGTTGTTCTAAATCGTCGATTAATTTATATGACCATCAAGGAACTTTTCTACTTATTTAATCTAAATAATTTGAATAGAAAAAGAATCATCCAACCCAACATTTGACATCTGTATTTACTTGTTTTGTTTGAGACTCTTTGATAAAATTTATTTCAATAATATTTGTTTTGATTTTTTTTATCTACATGTGGGAATTATCTGACAATCTTTTAACATCGAATGATACCATCTCAAAAGTAGCGTTGTTGATCAAAATTATGACAATGCTTTCGGCGATATTGAATTTGTTTAAACCGACACACACAAAATGAAAAAAAAAATCGTAAAAAAAAGAGAGTTTAGGTGTATTGTTTGTACCGTCCAATCTATCAAAACTTTGATACTTGGAATTGGTTATTATCAAAATTCAAACTCTTCAAATTTCTGTAAATTTACAACCTCTAATTGTACCTAAAATTATTCTTTGAAATCGATCATACAAATCCTTACTATCAAATATTAAAAAAAAAATTAATAAGTAATGAATGTTTGAGAATTTATCTGACTATGATATCTTAAACCTCTCCACTTAATAAAAGAAAAACAATCTTTAGTTAAAACAGAAGTTTAAACCTCTCCACTTGATAAAAGAAAAACAATCTTTAGTTAAAACAGAAGTTTTTTAACGATGAAGGGACAAATTCGTAAACAAACAAAAGCCGAATTGTGATAATATATATTTCATTTTTCCCTGCTCTGTTTATTCATTGAAAAAAAAAAGTCCAACTAATTTCACTTTGATTTCTCTCTCTAGATCTCTCATGGCTTCCTGCATCGCTCCCGTTTCCATTTCAGGTTTTTCATTCTTTCTCATCTTAATTAACTTTTTGCTTATTGTGCTTCAAGATCACTTTTTGATCTCTTATTATGCTCTGCTGACTGTTAAAGTGAATTTTAGGAATATAAATTTATTCTTTGCTTTATATATTCATTTTTGTTAAAAAATGTATTGATGAATATTTCTATCGATATTATCAAATTTGCTTGGTTTCTGGTGCTATCTGCTCTGACTTTTCGTTTTTATTGCATTATCATGTCCGTCACTTGTATTTGATGTATGTATATCTGAACATGGATATGTGATTTGGGTCTCAAAGGACTTTCAAAATACATGGAAGAACTTAAAGTAATGAAATGAACAAATTGTGTTGGATGCATATCTGTATATGAAAGTTACACCTGCGTTCAAGTATCATAGGTTTGGTGTGAAAACTCAAGAACAGAAGAGGGAAGATTTGAGTATTCAAATGCTCTGCATTATGAAGTTAAAACATGTAAAATGAGATAGAGCCTTGAAGTAGTTTTTGTCCTATTTCACATTGCATTGGTTTTCACTATGTAAATTCTTTTTCGGACTTGTGATAGATTGTTGTTAATGTTGGGTATAACAATGAAAAGATTTATTATTAAGTTCTTGCCTTAAACTCGATTTGTTGTCATTTCTTTCTGGTTTATAGGTGGTTCTCATCTCAAGGCCAGTGAAGTTAGTTTCACTAAGTCCAGCACCTTTGGGAAAACACCAAGTTTGGCAGTTTGGAGGAAACCAATGGCATCCAACCACCGGTTTTCTGTTTGTGCAGAGTATCGGTACGTAAATCTGGAATAATCCATGTTAAATAGGGTATCTAAAATTAATTTTGAAACTCAATAGGGTATCTAAAATTAATTGCTAAACTTCAAAACGGAAGTCTTGATATTAATGTCGAAAAGTCTTGAGGTCACTACAACCTGTCTATAGAGTTACTTTTGTCTCATTGTTGACCTTATTTAGAAGAATGACGTCAATAGTAACATTTCTGCCTAACATTACTTGGGTTCACCGTTGATACACTTGCAGTAAATCCCATTGTTGATTCCTTTCTGCCTAACTCAACATGTGGGGTTAAAAAACTACAGTATATCCCATTTCCTTTATTTTGCTCTATTTATTTACTATTGCTTTGTATATTTTAGGGGCTTGTGGAATCAAAAAGCTTCATTGATCTTCTACTACATAAATGGTCTCTGATAGGATTATCCAATGGTTATTTAAGTTGTTTATTGGATGATTTCTCAACTCACAGACTCAAAAGATTTAAAGCATAGAGCTGTCTGAACTACTCCATTGCATATTCCATTCTTTATGTCTTAATGTTCTTAAGCCGATTCTTTAAAAGAAAGCTGATTTTTACTTCTTTGGATGATGTGCTATGTTTAGATTTGCTCCAAGTTGCATTTTGCCTGTCACTTCTATTGATTTTGTCTCAACAGTGATGCTACTTATTTCTACTCTATTCTCATCCTTTTGTTGTTCACTCTGATGATGTATGCAGTGATGGCACTAGGGGTGGAGGAAATGATTTTGCTGCTGGTTTTCTTTTGGGAGGGGCTATATTTGGAACTTTGGCATATGTTTTTGCGCCACAGGTAACTAGTTTTTGCGCCACAGGTAACTAGTATTTGCTTTCTTCTTCACTTAATTTCCTGCACATATTCTAACATATCCAATCAACGAACTTATTTTTCTTTTACACCACAAAAGATTCATTTTTTGGCCTAAAATTCTTGACCCGTTTAACACTGAGTTTATGGTGAAATGCAACTTTCAAGCTCAAAAGTTGTACCAATAACAAAGCTAAACAATGAATCTTGTCTTGTCATTGTAGGTGTAAGTGGTATTACTACCCATACATCCCTATCCTATTTCAGAAAGTGAAGAGATATTATTTGCTTTTTTTTAGTGCAATGAATGGCACCCTTTTTGCTATTTTACATTTTTTTGGTTATTCAGGTTGGATATTAATTCTTAATTTGTTCTTTTGATTTAGATTAGAAGATCCCTGTTAAATGAAGATGAATATGGATTCCGGAAGGCAAAGCGACCAATTTACTGCGATGGAGGTTTAGAGGTAAATAAGTTCTGCCTCGTTTCATGACTTGGTCCTTGGATACCTGCTGTTATTCTTAAGTTAATTGAGCTCCACTTATTGAAAACAGAAAACCAGGCAGACCCTGAATGCAAAAATCCACCAACTCAACTCTGCCATTGACAATGTATCTTCACGTTTGAGAGGTGCAAAAAATTCACCAACCGTGCCAGTTGATACAGACCCCGAAGAAGAAGCAACTATGTAAGACATATTTCTATTTGCTCGGTCATGAAGTTGTGAGTTTTCAGTGATTGATGGTTTTACCTGCCCTTCTATTATGAATTCTGGATTCAGATATTGTTTTGAAGATTTTAAATGGGATTAATGCAGTTTTGTTTTTCTATTAGTCTTTTTTCTTGATGGATAGAGAAATTGTCGATTTAAGCTTAGATCCAGAATTGGCCTGGTGAACATAAGATTGTATAGCAGTAGCATGCTCTAATATTTGTTAATCCTGAGACTCACGATTTCAATGCTTGGCACTTGGCTTGGGTTCCAAGTATCGGAAGTGGGTCTAGTAATTTTGGAGATGACATGAATACATCACCCTTAATAAACATAATGTAATAAACACGAATAATATGTTTACATAGAGTATTAAACAACAAATTTAATTCAAGTTTCTTGACTAAGATTTGATATTCAAACATGATACGATTACAGTTTAAGACAATGACATAAACGTGGTCGTATTCATATGTAGAATTGAAACAGGAAAAAGGGACCAAAGAGTTTGGAACCGTTCACCTCTTGAACCGCACACCACCACTGAGCTATAGATCCGACTGTTATAGAGCTTAAATTTTTCTTTATATAACTTTAAATTAAAATATGGGCCCAGCCAGGTTTGAACCGATGACCTCTTGTTGTGCAGTCAAATGCACTACCACTGAGCTATAGTTATTACAGAGTTTCAATTTTTTCATTATATAGAATTGTTTTTAATAGTAAAACATCTATATTTTATTCTGATTCATTTTAAAAGTATATATATGTATTATATTTTTATTTAATATATTTTTTATTTAAAATAAATATTTAAAGTGTTTGTTTTTTCATTTAGATACTAACGCATAACATTGATTAAAAATATTTTAGATATCTAAATACAAATAAAACATATTTTACATATATGTTTTGATAAAAAAATATTTTAAATGTTTAAATGAAAGAGGTAAATACTTTAAGTACTTGTATTAAAAAAATTTAGATAATATTTTATATTTAAATATTTATATTTAATTTTTTTAATAATGAAATTTATTATTGAAACTAATTCAAATGAATTTAGATAAAAATTTAAAAATCTATTTGGCTTATAACTCAGTTCATAAACGCATCTGTTATTAATAACTAAAATGTGATGTACACTTGATTATTAAAATAATAGGAAGAAATAAAATAAAGATATTATTATGTATATTAGACCAAGAATTCACAAGAATATTCTAATTTGAAACAATTGTCCCTATACACATGCATTCAATAACATAAGTTCCAATATTTCAAAAAAAAAAATAACATAAGTTCCAAAACCCTAGCCTTGAACTTGCTCCGTCACCATGCAAAATTATAAATTATTCTTACAAGAAATGTACGTCCAACCACAACACATGGCAATTTCAGTTAGTTTGGTGATTCATAACATTCATGTACATGTCTAAATCAATCACTTACAGATGTCAACCGTCAGAAAGAACCACACGTCTAAGCCTCCAAGTTGCCAGCCTCAATCCATTCTGTCCATAAAAATATGCATCAACTTTCATCAAACCCCAAAAGATAATAGTAATAATAATAATAATATAACAAACTAGAGGGTAAATTAACTAATTGGTCAACTACCTGTTACTTCATTTATGTTTTATTCACCAAACTATTATTTTCTTCAAAATTATATGTAACATTACATTTTAATTATGTTTCAATTATTTGTCATTAAAAAAATTAATAGTGATGCTGATAGAGTATTTTTAATTATTTTTTAATGTTGATGATAGTAACTTATGGTGATATATTAGTATTATTGTTTATTTTTCAACGAGTGATTTAAAACAATTAAAATATAACATTAGATATAATTTTTAAAAAAGAATAGATAAGTAACCAAAACAAAAATTAAGTAATATAGGATACCCAAATATATAATTTACCCTAAACTTAAATAGAAGAATCTGATGAAGTTCCTTCAAATAAACCATCAAAAGTATTTTTATGCCAATTAATGATTATATAAAAACAAATTTTTAGTTTATTGGATTAGGTTAAGATAGAGATTCGACTCATAAGATTTTTAAGCTAAAGATAAGCACCTTCTCGTACACACTTACCACTTATTTTCCCAGAAAATTCTCTGAAAACAAGCTGCAAGATGATGGATATTGATGAAGAAACAAGCATTACTGTCAGAGAAATCAAACCAAAGAGCAGAAGAATCATAGTTAGGCCACCACCACTCCACCAGCCTTTGTTGTGTGTGTGTATATATATATGTTGATTACTTTGCATATGAATATTGTTATGGAGAAGATGATGATAAAATGAAGTTGGGGTTGTAATTATATAGGGAGGAGGAGGACCAGAAGATGATTATGATGAGTGGCCACCATGTTTGACACCACTGCTCCAAACAAGATTTTTTGGTCAATGCAAGCTCCACGCAGATGCTCACAAGAGCGAATGCAACATGTTTTGCTTGGATTGCATGAATGGTGCTCTTTGTTCTCTTTGCCTGTCTTACCACAAAGACCATGGAGTTATTCAGGTATATATAAATCTTTTATTTCTTTTATAGACATGTACGATGAATATTGACAACGAAATATCGGGACATAGATGAATTGATCTTAAACAATTAAGATCGTATTCGTGCTTGTTTGTTTATTTAATTTAATAAATATGTTTATTTAAATAAAAGATGTTATCTAAACAACAATTCACGACTACGTTCATTTGCACCTTTATTGAAATTGTATGAACTTGTATTGGTTTTGTGTTGATGGCATTTAACAAGGATTTGAGCAAGTTGTGGTTTGTGTTTGCAGATAAGGAGATCATCGTACCATGATGTGATAAGGGCATCGGAGATACAGAGATTGATAGACATTTCTGGGATTCAAACATACATAATAAACAGTGCTCGGATAGTGTTCTTGAACGAAAGACCACAGCCTAGGCTAGGCAAAGGTGTCACCAATACCTGCCAAGTCTGCCACCGCAGTCTCCTTCCTTCCTTCACCTTCTGCTCTCTTGGTTGCAAGGTTATATATATTGTTACAATACATCAAAATAATAATTACATTTTGTACTAATGGCTGAACTAAGATTTTATTTTATTTCAGGTTGTTAGGACATCCAGGAGGAGGAAGAAAATCTGCAAAGAAGCAGACGAGTCAGAGGGTGAGTGGTTGCATGCAACCAATGTTAGCAATGGGAGTACAGATTACAAGAAACAACAACAAAGTAGCTTCACGCCGTCAACGCCGCCGTCTCTGGCCAGGAGGAACGGAGTTCCTCATCGAGCTCCGATGGGAGATCTCATTATAGAATACTAATATATATACATATGAATTATATAATAATTAAATTATACCAATGTAACAATGTTTTTATTGCACAGAAATGGCATACATCGAGAAAAAATGTATATTTATCAAAGAAAAAGAACAAAAGGGTTAGATAAGAGATGTGCAGGGTTTTTAAACTGTTTCTTTACCGAACTTACTGTATATTGTTGGTTCAAATGTATATATAAACAGAATTTTTTTTTTATATATTAGTTGGAGTAGATAATATGCATAATAAACAGAGTACATAATATATGATGATCAAATTAGAATCAATGGCTTGTGTTCTAAACAGATTGTAGTAAATTACATGGCTTGTGTTCTAAACATTTAATTCTCTTGTGTTTTGTACTACATTTTCCTACGAGACACAACAAAAATTTAAATCTTTTAAAAAAGGCATTATAAATTCAAAACAAAAGATTTATATGTAAAAGAAAGAAAAGGTATATGAAATATACTATGGCTTGCCCAAGGTCAAGAACATTCCCTTTTGTCAGGCAAAACACAGAACGAGCCATGTTCTTCATTCTCCTCTTCTTAACTCTCGAATTCGACTCCTCCTCTACAACTACTACTGCCGCTAGAAGAAACCTAACAAAACCCATCATTTGGATTTTGATTAAAGTAGGATTTATCTAATAGAAAAATCAGATTCGCTCAGCTGCATTTGTAAAGTGTAAAATTTATCAACAAATTATTACTTTTTAAATTGATAGTACCTTATAATCATCTCATATTACTTTTATAGGACTTCATTTGTGGACGACATGAAACTGAATCAAAGGAGAGACGTAATAATCACCTCCAAAACTCAATATTTTCCTTCTATTTGTAGTACTTCATTTTATGGACTAAAATGGGAATTTTCTTCTTCTTTCCCTAAAGCAAACCAATTAAAACCTGTTAAGTTTTATTTAATCAGTTTTGCTTTTTATTTTTATTTTTTCTAAACTGAATCGATTGTGTTATTTTTCATTTCTATATGGCTAAAACTATTTTTGAAAATTTAATATTATTAAAGTTCAACTAACTTACAATATGATAAATCTATCAAATGATCAGTCGGTTTAAACTCCGATTCGGTTAGCTCAATATGCTACATAACCACAGAAACCACCCTTTACAGGGAGCAACAAATACACAGCTCGAAACAATGAAGCAGATATGACTTCCCAAAAAGCTGCAATTACAAGACAACCTCAGTTCCATTTAAATGATATATTCCTGAACAATTGAGTGTGATCTCTCCTCTTCCGCGTCCCGCCCGATTTGGGTTAACTTTTCTACTCTGATATCCTCAGCAGCGCTGACGACGTGTTTCTTCTAACCCTGCAATCAAGCTCCAGCAGTCTCCATTTCCCCACACTGAATTAAACAGACATGTGTACGAGTGCTCTAAGAAAATCTATAAATTAAAACCATTTAAAAGCACTCAATAACAATGGCGAGTGTTCAACCTTTAGACGGTCCCTCGATCCAAGGACCATTCATTATATTCAGAATGCTACAAGCCTCACTGTATTCTAGGTTCGGTAGCAATTTTGGGGTAAGAAGGAAACACCTGCCACAATGTTGGAAACAAACTTCAAGCCACTATATCATGTATTCCAGAAACAACTTGAATCCAAAACAAAAACATCAAATAGTTCATATAAGAATCAACAGCAGCTGGCACCATAAAAAAGAGAAAGATAATAGGTATGTCAACAGCTGCTACTAAGCTTTGGACCGGGAAGAGATAGAAGCAAAACTAGTTGGTTTGGTCCACTACATCAATCTTCCTTTTAGTTAATGCCAACTTTTAGATTTTTCATTTTTTTCCATTTATAAATAGGAGACCCAACTTAACACTGGCCATTTCATTTGTTCTGTACATTTTATTCCCATTCTATCCTATTATCTTCTTTTTGTTATATGTATACAGATCAAATTCACTTTATAGACAAAGCACATGCCGATGAATACATTTGTATCAGGAAAATTTTCGATGATAACTGAATTTATAACACAGCTTTTTAAAGATTAGCCAAATAATAAACTAGGAGTTAGAGAAAGGAACAGCATTTCCTGGTAAAGTTTGTTCTTACTGTGGGGTGTTTGGCTGGCTGGCCGCCCTTACTAATTGCTGAAACATCTTCCTTTCATTGATGGGGTCCATTCCTGGGTGAAGGAAAGACTCGAGAAATATCAACCACAAGGATTTTGATGCAGCACGTATCTGTAACATGGTGTGTAGAAGCTGATTCAGGCTTACCTTGGTTAATCTCGTCAACCACTCTAAAGGGACAATTAGTGAGATCTTGAAGAGAAACAAGATAAAGAATCGTTGAAACTGAACGTTCCTACAAAGAAATTCAAAAATTGCAGAGAAAAAATGCTTTTCCAAATTGATTAATGAATTAAAGAATTTGATTGAGATACCCCTCCAGATTGATGGTGAGCACTGAGAACTTGAAGTTGACCTGCTTGCCTGATGCACAACACAAAAAAGAGAAGAAAAAAAAAGATTCAACAGCATTAATCACTCAGAAACGTGACATGTTGAAAAAACAGTCTGAATCATTGTATGTTATATAACAAAATGTAGTGAAATGAAACAAAGGGCACATAACTTACACTATACAAATAAATAAAACATGGGAATACTTATCTCACATAACAAATTATTAAGATGGATATATATATGGAACCGGTCTAAATAATTAGGTTTTAGACAAAGTTATACTCCATAAATGGGCACAGTTTATGGATGGACAAACATAATACTAGAGTTATTCTGTCTACATTTATTCCTGTCCAACCGCCAAAAAAAGTGATTAATAGTGTATGAAATAACTTCATACGATAAAATCACACAGGAGTGGCATTATTTGATAGGCAATGGAAAACTTAGGGAATTATCCAGTCAGGAAAACATCTAAGATTTCTAAAGCAATAGTGACCATGAGAAGTGTTTATTGGTGAATGGATTCCTAAGCAGGAAAAGAAAAAGCCAACACTTACCATTCAAAACACTAAATCTCAGGACATTAATGTTCAAATATTAACTTTAAGTCAATATTTGATTCAGTTATTTTAACCCCAGTTATCATAAAGCTATACACATAAATAGCTAATTGTATCATCAATTAATATATTGATATTTATACTGCATACAATCTGTCAACACTGCAAAGATCTCCCATTGAGCAATAAGCATTTAAGTTGAAAAGTCTTTTATGTCACTCCAAAACTGAAAATAGACAAATCTCATATTTCACTTTTAAATAATGCAAAAACCTGATCCCATACCGAAAAATAGTCATATTGGTGAAATAACAAGTTCGGAAACCCACCTGAACTTCACTTTTATAAGAATTCCAAATTGATCAAAATCATTGTCATGCTCATCTGAAAGAAACCATTGAATCAGAACAGGAAACGACAGCTTAGCATATAGTGAACTCTCCAAAAGGTAATAATATATGATACCCAATGAAACTTCTCCTGCAACTGCCATCTCTTGGAAGTTACGACTAAAAGTTTCATTTATCTGACTAACAAGATTTCTCAACTTCGGGAGCCAATTTCCCTGCATGCAAGAGTCGATCTATCAAGGTATTGAACAAAATTGAGACCAAGCCTTTCCACAAGGTGGAGTGTGTAATAAACCTCCAAAGTCTTAAATGACTATATTGAAATCGATAATGTATTCATGGGGGGAAATATTAAATTTAAGTTTCCAGGACCCTTTTTCTTGCTTTCCAACACATCTTAACCATTGCCAAGACAGCTTTAAAACTGAAATTCACGAGCAAATGATAAAAAAAGAAAATTGGAGAAAAGAATAATGCTTCCTTGGCTACTTTTTTTTTTTTTTTGCTATTTGCTTTCACTGCTTCAAGAGTTGCTAGAATGTAAATGCAAAAGATAGAAAAATCATATTTGATTAAAGTTTGACACCCAACTTATATATAACACATGTACAAAGATAATTTTTCAAAATACAAGTAACATCATGCTCTTTTTTGGTACTATTAAAATCATGTATTCTAATATTTTGAATTTTTTAGTTTTATCTTTTGGAAGACTAAATTTTATTCTTCCAAAAAAGATTATAAATGTTTCTTTTTTTCTTTTTTGGTACATTCAAATTTGGGGGATGGGTGAGGGTTTCACTAGGTTGAACCCTGAACATTAATGTCAACCATGGACTTGAAGACTTGCAAGTCATTTTGCAACTAGACCAACAGCTCAATGGCAATTATAAGTGAATTTTTGGGCTAAATCACTAAAGAAAAAAGGTTTACTATTTTTAAAAAAATGATAAACTCTAATGCTTCCGTTACACCTAAATATGCTCTTAAAGTGTTTTTACTATACACGCCCTTTTTTCCACATGATCTGTTAGTTGACATGGACATTGTCTAACTCCTAGACTTGCACACATTAAAGTTGGATGACCAATTATCCCACTGATAGAAAAGTGTCACTGCTCTATTTAAGTTTCTAGACATCCCCTCATATCTAAGCAGTATGAATAACTATGATATTTTATGTTCTGTAACTGGATGTATCTTTTTGTTTAGTAATAAATCTTCGGGCATTCTTTTCCTCCTTCCTATGGCCATTGAGTTTTTAGGAGCTTGATGGTTATGAAGGGGTGTTTTAATGAGGCCCTATTCTTATAAAAAAAATAACTATGATATTTTCTACGAAAAATGCCATTTATGGTAATTCAACTTTCATTTTATCCTAATCCCAAAAAAAAAAATTATTCTATCCTAATATTTTTTTCTTATTCTATCCACCCATATGCCCCGATGTCCAACACTAATGAGAAAATTTGATGAAGTATTGTTAAGAGAATCAGAACACACCACTTAGCACTAGAAGCCATTTCATTTTTTGGGTCAATGAACTTATCCTTCTGTTAGAAGTTCTAAATTTTAAATTTTTATGTTTAAGAAACTTCTATATTTTGAAATAAAAAATATTTTAAAAAGTAAAATTTATTTCTAAAATTAAAAGATTAAACTTTTTTTTTACATTTTTCTTTTGTTTTCTTGATCTTTTAAAATTTATTGTTTAGAAACAAAAATTCTAAAATAACTATTTCTTGTAATATCATTTTTGCCTTCTAATTTTTTTTAAAACAAAATAAGTTTTGTTTTTCTTTTCTTTTGGCCTTTTTTCATCTCCTTCACCTTCTCTCTTTTTGTCCCTCTTTCTACCAACGAATATGGCCAATCTAGGTCGGAATGATATTGGCATAGCCAAAAATAGACTTAAAACAATTTGGATCTGCCACACATTTTAAGTGGACCAATCTGTTTTGAGGCCGTTTGCAACAATATTGATACTGAATGTAACCTCAGGTAGAAAGATTTCACCCATGATTCACACAATTCGACTATTAGGGAAGGAGACTGGGAGAGAGAAGAGAATGGATAAGCAGAGAAGGAAAGAATGGGAAGAAAATAATTCTTTTAATTATTATTTTTAATAGATCTTTTTTTTTTGATAGAAAGAGGCCTCATTAAAATCCTCCTTCAATCCCTCCATGTTATGAGAGTAACATGAAGGAACAACGAAGGAGGAAAGGAGAGCCAAGAAAACTTTTATTCACAAGAACCAGATTACAAGATTGAACAAACTCCTACACTTCCAACAGAAGAACATAAAACTTAACACAAAACATCCAACAAACAGGGAGGTACAATTCCTGTTAAACAACACAACAATAACCAAAATCACCCTATCCCATCTTTAGCAAGTTTATCAGCTTCCCAGTTTGCCGCCCTTGAAATATGCCTAAAAATAATATCATTTCCAATCAAAAGCGAAACTATATCCTTCACCAAGGATAGATGCAAAGGAGGGCTTAAACCCGGATTCTGGATCCACTTCAGAGCGTTAGATGAGTCTGATTCCAAGATAACTCTCTGATTTGCGACAAAATCCAACTCCTCCATAAGACAAATCCCTCTTTTGATAGCCAACAGCTCTGCCAAGATAGGAGGACCACCCCCTACTGCTTCAGAAAACCACTGAAGTAATAGACCTCTGCTATCTCGAAACAGACCACCAATACCTCCTTTATCCCAATCTTATATTCTTTTAATTTTTAAGAACTAAACAAATTTATTTTATTTTATAAACAAGTTTATGCTAGATGCCTGCACTAATCAACACCTCAAAATGAGGTAGAACTTACTTGGCGACATGGCACATTACAGTTGGACTGTTGGCATGTAACTAGATTTTCCTAAAAGTGTTGATGTTAGGAGTTAGGACACGTCGATAGACAGGATGAAAGTTCGATGTATTAAACATCTTTTTAGTAATTGTACCCAATAAGATTAGTACCTAGAAGATTTCCCTTACTAAAGGTGACACGGGACGGTATACCCACAAGCAGGAGAGGGAACAGTTAAAAAGAGGAGGGAATATGTTATCAAGAGCCAACAGTAGAGTCCCATTTAGAGAATAATCCAAGTAATGCATGTACTTTTTTAAGCCTCACATGACCACAGTAATCATTACCACAATCCAGCAGGCAGTAATATCATCTACTTTCGTAATGCCACAATTCATATTTACAACAAGTAAGATGACTTCTCTCACCTTCAGGGCATCTATCTCAGCTAAGCACCTTTGAAGTTCCTTTCTATCTGCGTCTAGTTTTGCAGAAATGGTTTCTATCTGTAATATATGCACTCTAGATGAGATTTTTTTAACATACCAAAAAATGAGGATAATACAAAAATACCTGACGTTCACGATCTTGATATTCCTGCAGTATGTTTTGGTTTAGGAAAACAATAGAGTTGGCTTGAGAAATATTGTCTTGTATAGCAGCCTCCAACTCCTCGATCGTAGTTGGCATCTTCAGATAAACTAAGAAAAATTAATAAATGAAAATATGTGGAGAACAAAAAAGCACAAACAATTCAAGTTGAACTGATGATACAAACTTTGTAGGTTATGCGATAAGTCTTATTAGTTAGTAATTTAATATAATACTAACTCTTAGAAAGTTAAATAGATAAGGATAACTACTAGTTAAATAGATAAGAATAACTACTAGGTAGTTTATTTCTAATAGAAAACTTACTCTTAACTTTTCCTATAAAAGCAAGATGTACTTTCACCTATATATACACGTTTAAGACTTTTCTCTTCTCCACTATGTTGATTACTCTTTATCAACATGGTATCAATTAGGTGAGCGATCCTTCTCCCTAACCCTAGTCGATCACTTTTTTACCCTAACCCTAGCCGCCAACCATGACTTCCGCCTCTTCTTCATTGAATGTCACTTCGGAAATCCTCGTTAATTCACCCAGTCCAAACCTCTCCGATGTTTCTTCCGCCTCTATCACCTGTCACCGATTGAATGGTGACAATTATATCCCTTGGTCCCAATCTGTTCGCCTTTATATAACCGGTCGGCGCAAACAGTAAAAACTTTTGGAAACCACACCAGTTCCTACTGTGACGGATCCTGAATATTCAACCTAACTAAGTGAGAATACTATGATTATGTCATGGCTTATCAATTCCATGATTCCTGTTGTGGGGGAAAACTTTCTACTATATGAAACAGCGGCTGAAATTTGGAGTACTGCAAAGGCGATGTATTCGAATCTGGAAAATTCGGCTGCCCTATTTGGGATTGAATGTCAACTTTCCAATCTCAAACAAGACAACATGACCGTGACTCAATATTTTACTCTAATGTCGCGCTTATGGCAGCAACTTGATTTGTTCGAATCCCATGAATGGAGGTGTGTAGAAGATGCTTGTCTATTCAAGAAGATTGTTGAACAGCGTCGAATATTCCAGTTTTTGTCTAGTTTGCATCAGGATCTCGATGAAGTCCAGGGACGAGTATTAGGACTTAAAACTCTTCCTTCAATTCGGGAAGTGTTCTCTGAAGTACGACGCGAAGAAAGTCGACGTACAATTATGCTTCCTGATTCGCAACCCGCTGAAGGATCTGCATTGCTCACTCCTCAAACTACTACTCGACCAAAGAAGGGGAGTCCTTGGTGTGATTACTGTAAGAAGGTTGGCCATCTGCGGGATTCTTGTTGGAAGTAACATGGCAAGCCTACTGATGGGAAGTCTTCAAAACAGCATCAACAACGTGATACTCAAGGAAATTGTGTTATGAATACTGGTTTACAAGGAAGTTCGTTTACTTGAAAACACATGAAAGGGTTTAATCAGTTAAACATTCATTCCTAATCCGTACCTGTAGGTAGAATTCCTTCTGCTACTTTGGCTAATAAATCCGCCACTTCTACTTGGATTATGGATTCTGGTGCAAGTGATCATATGACAAGTGATCATATGACAGGTGATCTTAGGCTCTTTTACACTTTTCATGCTGAATAGTCTATCTCCCATATTCGAACAGCCGATTGTTCTCTTTCTGGTGTTGCCGGTCATGGGTCTATTCGAATAAATCCTGACATTTTTTCATCTCAATTTCTTTATGTTCTCAATCTCATTTGCAATCTTATCTCCATTAGCAAGTTGCCTACCAATTTATGTTGTACCACGAAATTTAACTCTGATTTTTGTGAATTTCAAGATTCGAGCTCTGGGAATGTGATTGGCAGTACTAGACTTTGTAGGGGTCTTTACTTGCTTCCAACAACTTTATTTTCCCAACCATCTGCTTCCTTCAATGTTATACAACAATTTCCTTTACTTGAACCTTCAACCGATGTTATGTTATTGCACTTTCGTTTAGGACATCCCAATTTCTTTTATCTTGCAAAGTTGTTTCCACATTTGTTTGTCAATAAAAATCCTAAATCTTTTTCTTGTGATATTTGCCCACTTGCTAAACAAACTAAGAGTGTTTATCTACCTTCTCCGTATAAACCGTCCAAACATTTACCATGATCCATAGTGATATTTGGAGACCATCCTGGGTCGCATCTTTACATGGGTTCGGTGGTTTATTTCATTTATTGTTGATCACACTCGTACTACCTGGACCTTTCTCATGAAAACTAAATCTGAAGTTTGTGAAATATTTAAACGGTTCCATAAGATGGTTGAAACCCAATTTCGATGTTCTATCCAAATGTTTCATTCTGACAATGGTAGTGAGTATTTTGCCAATGTTCTGGGTTCTTTCTTTCAAAAAACCGAGATTATTCATCTTACTTCATATGTCAATTCTCCTCAACAAAATGGGATTGCTGAGCGAAAAAACAAGCATCTTCTTGGGGTTACTCGGTCTCTTCTTTTTTTCACAAATGTTCCTAACTATTTTTTGGGGGAAACTCTTTTAACTGCCACTTATTTGATGAACCGTCTACCTAGTAAACTGTTACAATTTAAGTGTCCGAGAGATGTTTTTCTTCAATTTTTTCCTAATTTTTTCCTAATTTTAAACTGATGACTTCATTGTTACCCCTTAGAGTTTTTTGTTGTTCTGTGTTCATAACAATGTTCCTTTCAGGTCCAAATTAGATCCTCAAGCATTTCTGTGTGTTTCTGGGTTATTTTTCAACTCAAATGGGCTTTCGGTGTTATTATTCTCGCACTAAGAAATTCTTTATTACCATGGACGTTACTTTCTTTGAAAAAACACTTTTTTCCTTAAAACTGCTATTCAGGAGAGTCATATAATGAATATCAGTTTGTTGACCTGCAACAATTGTCAATTGATTTGCAGTCAGCTCCTTTTGACCAACTAGCACCGCCGAACCAGTCAAACTAGTCGAATCAACCTACAAAATCACTCCAACCAGACCAAACAGCACTACCGAACCCAGAAAATTTATCCTCACCAAACCAGCCCACCAAAACGTACTTACCTCAGCATGATCAACATATCACTTCGCCTCAAATACCTCCATCCGAATTGTTGATTTACAAGAGACGACAAAGACCAATTTCTAAACTAATCCTGAGTCTCCCACACAACATGGACATTGTTATGAACTGAAACTGAACGAGAATCCTTTGGAGAATTAAGGAGGTAATCAGAGTCCTTCCACTAAATTAAATGCTTTAATTGATGATAATGACTTGTCGATTGCTCGAAAATGAGGATATTATCCAATTAATAGATTTGTTGAATATGAAAAGCCAACACCTTGTTTTAAGAACTTTACAGCCAATATAGATAGCATTATTGTTCCAGATACGATGGAAGAAGCATTGAAAGATGTCAAGTGGAAAAAGGCAATAGAAGAGGAATTAAAGGCACTGGAAAACACCAATACTTGAATTGTAGTTGATACTCCGAAAGATAAAAAATCAGTCGGTTGCAAATGGGTATTCACGATAAAATATAAAGCTGATGGTAGCATTGAAAGATACAAGGCTAGTTCAGTGGCGAAAGGATTTACTCAATCTTTTGGAGTTGATTATCAAGAAACATTTGCTCTGATAGCAAAACTAAACACTGTGAGAGTGTTACTGTCATTGGCAGTCAGTGAGAATTGGGTGCTTCATTAGTTGGACATCAAAAATGCATTTCTAAACAGAAACTTGAAGGAGGAAGCATATATGCGAATTCCACTGGGAGTGAAGAGTAATACAGGAAAAACGTGTAGATTACTAAAGTCCTTGTATGGACTTAAGCAATCTCCAAGAGCCTGGTTTGACATATTTACTAAGGTGATTATTCAAGATGGTTACAAGCAATGTCAATCAGATCACACTTTATTTGTCAAAACAACTTCGAACAACAAAAAAACAATTTTGATTGTCTATGTGAGTCAATTATATGAATTATACGAGAGAAGAACATTTAGAGGTTGTGAATAGAATTCTAGGATACTTGAAAATGACACCAGGAGATAGGTCAATTTTCAGAAAGAGTGATGATAGAACAGTAAGAATATTTTCGGTTTCAAGCTGGGCAAGTGAATTAACGAATAGGAAATCTACAACTAGTTATTGTTCATTTGTTTGGGGAAATCTGGTTACTTGGAGAAGCAAAAAATAGGTTGTGGTGTCTCGAAGTAGTGCAGAAGCAGAGTTTAGAGCAATGGCACTTGAAATTTGCTAAGGAATTTGGCTTCAAAGACTGTTAACCGAGCTAGGGTTATGTGCCAACAAATGTTTTGAACTTCAAAGTGATAGTAAATTTGCAATAAGTATTGCAAAGAATCCAGTTCATCATGACCAAACAAAGTATGTGGAGATCGACAGACATTTCATCTCTGAAAAGGTGAACAGTGAAGCTCAATTATGTTTCAGCGACACCAAGGTACTTCCAAGAATTACCTTTGGTGAGATTATATCCAAGTTGGGTCTTTTCAACATTTACTCCCCAACTTGAGGGGGAGTGTAGGTTATGCGATAAGTCTTATTATTTAGTAATTTAATATAATACTAACTCTTAGAAAGTTAAATAGATAAGGATAACTCCTGGGTAGTTTATTTCTAATAGAAAACTTACTCCTAACTTTTCCTATAAAAGCAAGATGTACTTTCACCTATCTATATAGGTTTAAGACTTTTCTCTTCTCCACTATGCCGATTATTCTTTATCAACAAACTTGTGTTCAGAAGAGGTTTTTGAAACAAACATTTCACACATATTAATATTACATTTGAAAAAAAAAGAAGAATCTAGATCATTTATATTCCTATTTTAAAATAAAGTCAGCAAACTGTAAAATCAAAATTACCCAAGGAATTGAAATATGACAATTGTCACCTAATCTGATTGACCTAACATTAGAAACAATATTAATTGATTGCAAATTTCAGCCTAAATTCATGGCAATTAAAATTAAACTCGATGCACGTATATATTATTAGTTAGCCAGTTTTCTTCACAAAAATATATATTCTCTTGGGATTGAGCCAAACTCCAGCAGAGTTGCTTTTAAGTTGATTCAGTCCATACATGTCTGGAATCACACTAATGAATTTGTGAAGAACTTAGCACTGTACAGGAATGAAGTTTTACTTATCCAAATTTTTGTAACCTGGAACCATAGGTGCTCATAAAAATTTTGAAGTAATAATAAGCTTATAAGGTTCTGTTTCAACTCAAAACAAAAACAAACCTCGAGAAATAACTTTTGAAGTTCAGGAGTAATGGTGGCAATTGATTCAGCAGTTCTCTTGGCAGCTGACAGTTGTTGACGATAATCCTTTACTTCTTGTTGACCTAATCCAGAAGAAAATTGGAAGTTTTTGGAATCAATATCAAGAAAATTCAGAGAAAAAAGGTCCCGTGTAATTCTTGGATATAGCATTCCCGTATATCCTACCTTAGTAATTAAGTAAATCATTGGGTTTTTTTATTTTCAGTTCACAACATTCACATTAGCTTAAGCAACAAAGCACAGAAGATTTAAACTATCAAAAGGAAAATTGCTTATACCCAAGAAAAGATTCCTACTTCAAGGGGACATGCAAAAATCCCATCAATTGAAAAAAAAATTATATACATCACCAAAGGACCCATCCCTTAAACATTTACATTAGCATTAATGTAGAAAAGAAATACATTTATGTAAAACCCTCAACAAACATAAGAAGAAAGACAATTCTGAATATTAGAACTTGTTGAACAAATGAACCAGGAACTATTTCCAGACACTATGAAACCTAGAACATAAGAATGTTCTGCATATTAAATGCAGAACGCAAGCAAAAATGCTATCCTCTTTTACAGGCTTCTATAGAGAGATGAACCTAAAAGCTACATTTAAAGAAATAGAAAAAAAAAACTAAACAAAGGAAAATGAAACTAATAACTCACAAATCTCTAAGTTCATTGATGCCTGATAAGCAAACTTCTCATGCTCCTTGAGATTGGCTTCTGAGTCTCTAATCTATATAACATTGCAAAGCCAACAAAAACCAGGGATTCATGAATTAGAAATAGCAAATTGTTTAGGCAATAACTTATTCCATCATTTTGATACTTAAAATAAGATCCATTCCCATCCAGCATTAGAATAAAAACAGAGAACAAGAAATAAATATACAATTTTGAACAAGAGGGAAAAAAATGGGGAACAAAAGCACCAATTGAGCCACCTGATCCTGGTGTCCTATCAACAAGATCCAGTAATGAGATGGATAAACTGGGAAAAAGAAACGGTAGAGAGAGGGGTTGAAAAGCGGAACAAGGGTGAGAGCTAAATAAAAAAATTGAGAAAGCCGTGAAGATAGCCAACTGCCAGCCACAGGAGGCCAGGGCAATGGAAGAAGGCTAGGAGACAGAAAGGGAAGTGAGTGAGGAGGGTGTTAAATTTGAAAACAAAATGAAAACAGAAATGTAAAAATTTCAAGTACATAGAAAGATGTCATTTGCTCAACAAATGGCGATAACAAGGCTTTGTCTAGTTTGTTCTGATGAATGATTGATTGATAGATGGTTTTGACACATGTTAAAAAGGACACGACAGTTTTGCCACGGATGAAAATGAAATTTGGCAAGAAATTTTTATCACGTTTTTTTTACCCGATCAATAGAAAAGCAAGTTACTCTTGCATATTTCACCAAATAATACCTTTGCATCATATTCAATAGAAACCAAATGTTTCTCAGCATAACTCCATTTGCAGGAAACAGCTTCAACCAGCAAATCCTATTAAAACAAAAAAGTGAGTACTAACAATACAAGAACAAAGTAACTGAGAACATATATACCACATTACAAAGAATAACAGCTCATAACTTATTTCAGACAGAATCTCCAATTATTGTCTGCAAACACAAGAACAAAAATGTGCCTGAAAAGCATCTTTACCTTAAGTTTATTTGCATGTTTAAGACGCTCAATGTTTGATCTTGTAGCTTGGTCAATGAGCTTCACTACAGCTATTTCCATATCACCAGCTTTCTCCAAGGATAATAATTTTCTTTTCCGTTGTTCTGCATTAACATTTGTATGAACATTAATCGTAAACAAATGATGAGATGGAATAAGAAAATTACTAATGGCAACCAATGAAACTACAAAACTTACCAACACAGCTTTCCAATTCTTTCCGTTTTTTCATCTCCCTTCTTGCTGTATCAACCATCTCCTCCTGCAGAAAGTATGAATTAGGTATAAGTGGAAAGATAAGCTCCACAAGACAATGCTAATTTAAGATTTATTTTTATTCCAAGCCATGCATATAAAAATTGCATGCATGTGTCAGCATAGTACATTTGGTTAAAAGCTTTTATAGAAAATAAAATAAAGCTCATTCTTTTAACACACCCGCTGCTTTTGAAGTTTGGCTGCTTCATCTTCAACCAGTCTTTGCTGAATCTGAAGTGATTTTATGCCTTCCTCCACATCAGCAACAGACTTTTCAAGCTCATTCTTTCTGGACCTCAGTTTTTCAATTTCTCCACTATCCAAACCTTTAAGAAAAAACCTTAGAAAATTAGTTTACAGTTTGAGGTCAAGCTAGAAGGGGAAAGGGCATACCACACAGTAGAAGACGTGAATCATGAACAGGTTCTACTTGGGCTGACATTTCATTATCACCATATCTAGAAACAGACCAATGATAGTGGTTTTGTGGAGTCCAGAAATCTAAAATTCCTAATCTTCTAGCAGTATCATCAGCCTTCTTATCAGTTTTGTCCGACCCAATATACTAATGGAAGCAAGTGAAAGCAAAAAAACGAGGATCAGATGTCGGAGTTTAAATACTTTAAAAATATTACATCTTTAAATTCAGTTGAAATATATATGTTGACCAAGGAAGTTTAAGGCATACTGAATGCTCTAGACCAAATTGTGATGTCAAAACCTCCTTTACAGCAGTGGGAGCATCAAAAACCTGGTCAAGTCGGGAATAGATGCCAAGTTCATGCATCTGCTCAAAAACATGAAAACATAATATTAAGTTGCTAGGATCTACTTGGATCAAATATTGAATTGGGTCATCAAGAAGAAATACCTGCTTAGAAATTTCAAAAGGTGCTTTCCGACCGGATTCTTCTCTTGTATTATTTAGAATGGGAACATCAAACGGCTGTAGGTTCTTTACAAGAAAATCCCTATCACTGGAATCTTGAGTAATGAAAGACTGAAATTAAAGAAAAGTGAAGATGTAAACAGTAATTGCAAATTTCACATTAGATGTACAAAATTTTGTGTATACAAGTAATGTAATAATTTATGGATTAAAATGAATATATATATATATATGAAGACCAAAGAAAAGATATCCTAACCACATAACCAATAATGAAAACAGAGAATACAAGAGGGAGTTCTATAAATAGGATCTAGAGGATTATATCCGTAGCACAATATTTCAAAACCAAAGAAAATTTTTCTTTCTTGAGAAACAAGCTTTTATCAGTTTAAGAACAAAATTTGCAAGACCTGTTACAGGCCAACATGAAACCAGTACACATATTAAGCTTAGTTAATGGCCAAAATTTTAAAACAGTAGATCATTGTTTCCTATGTCCATTTTCCTTCTCATAAAAGAAACAAACTTGACCGCAAGTCAAACAGGCCAAACTTCGAAGGGCTCCGACACATGCAGCACCAGAATTTAGGTCAAGTACCATTTCATCGCATGTTTGGCTTACCAGTCAGCTACAGTTAAACTTTTAATCCTTCATATTATGAGTTTCAAGCCATTTTTTTGGCTTCAACAGAGAGCTCAATATGGGACCACATTTGGCGTAGAGCTCACTTAACTAAGTCAAACCAAGTTCAAAACTTTCTTATGTCAGCTTATGCTCGATTTAACTGACTTAAATTTACAAGCTGGGCCTCAACAAGGCAAAACTTAGCTAAACTACCTACTGCATCAGCAAATCGGGAAAGTTTTGGAAGAAAGCATCAATTTGCAATCCCTTGCATACATGAAAATATGGTATGTTTGAATAAACACTAAACTCTTATTTCTTAATCTTGTTTGTTCCAAGTTGCTCAAGAGTTTAATGCACAATATCTTGGCTATCAGCATCATTTCCTACCAGATCTTTTACCAACATTTTCTAGCCAATTTATTTGTATAACTAAGAACTCTGAACGGTAAAAAAAACAAGTGCAGTACGCAATACGAATAAACCTCATACAGGACAAAGTATGCATATTTCAACTGCAAAGCAACAGGGATTCTTAACATATGCTTGGACATAAATAAACTCACAACGAAAAAAGTAAGCAATGCAATTTTGTAATCTTTGCTTGTTATTGTAAAACATAACAAACATAAAATTTAGAAAATAAAAAAAGGAAATTAGGAAAATAAAGAGACAACATTAAAGCATACCTTCCAGATGTAGTGAGCAACATGACCTTCCAAGAAGTTAGCATGGACCTCATTAGACACGTTTACCTGAGTTTTGCAGTTACAGAGTAAGGAGATGCAGATATATTATTATTTTTAGTATAACTACCGGTGTTCGATCTATTGATCAACTAATCCGGATCAGATACTGTAGAGGCAAGGGCAACCCTCCCAACCCAGTTTGCTCCATTCACAAAAGTCAAGAATCGAACCCCTAACCTTGCTTAAGGGATCTAGTGTCTCATCCCACTAGACCAACTGGTTGTTGGTAGATATATTATTTGTTATATACAAAAGTAATCTGAATTATTAAACAGGTACCTCAAGCAATACAGGGCCATAAACCTCCTTGTTCAATTTATCACGATTCTGTTCCAACCACTGATAAGCTTCAAATATCTTATCTGCACCACATTTCTTTAAAGCATGTAAACATTTGCTTTTAGTATTCTCCATATCTCTCAAACTGCAAAATTTGGAAAAGATCAACGAAATCAACAAACAATTCAAATATTTTAAAATAGGAGACAAACAGAAGTTGAACCATTTACCAATCCACACAGTTCCTCAGGTCAGTTTTCATTTGACCTAGAGATCTTTCTTTCTCCTTCTTCTGCTGCATCATTTGCTGAGCAGAAGAAGTTAACTCCACAATTTGAATTTTCAATCTCTCCTGGTGAAAAGAAGTTAGATTAACATCAGACGGCATAATGTCAAAATTGTCAAAAATATACAGCAAATGGTTAATCAGCAGTATATTTCTGACAAAGGAAAAACATAACGCTTGATTATCCTACCAAATTCTTCTAAGCCAATATATAAGGATAATTGTCTTAAAATTATAATATCAGCTCTACAAAAGAGTAGACTAATACTGCATATGTCCCAAAAAGAAAATCAGTTCATCTTCTCAACTTCTTGGAAAATTTTCCCACTTACCAAAAGTATCTAGGTAACAATTTATTCTTCATTTTATTATCAAGTATGAACACATTCACCATGATTTTGATCACCACAAATGATCAAGTATTAAGGGAAAAAGACAATCATGCAAAAACCAACCATACCACCCACATTTTTTGCTTATAATAGTATATTAATAGTTAGGGACAGAAGTCACTAAAATCCACGTTAATATCTCCCAGAAGCAGATAACTATAAGTCTGCTATGTATAAAATCATGGTTTACAACCATTTTATGCGGTACCTAAGGGATTCCAAAGAAATAATAACAAAAGCAAAAACATTTGACTTACAATTTCCTCCTTAGGAGGTTCATATACAGGCAGGTTCTGAAGATCTTCTTCAGCATCAGCAAGTTTCTTTTTAGCCTCTATAATACTTTGTTTGCGAAAATCTTCTTCTCTCCTCAAATCTTCGATTTCCTTATATTTACCTCGTGCATGCACTGCCTGTAAGTGTGGAATTGATTCATCATATCAATATAAATTATTCAACAACTCATATGACTAAATACAAAAAGAAAAAGAAAAACAGAAAAAGGCTATGACAAGTTCAACACACCGCCTCATTCTCTTTCTGCAGAAGATCATTCCGTTTCTTAATATTTTCATTCATGAGATTGTTTATGCGTTTACATTGATCCTCCTGCTTTGTTTTCTCCTGCTTTTGTTTTCTGCAAGCATTAATTTTTCAATGAATATTTTCACTATAATTAGAAGAATATAGTGCTGAAAGTAGAGGAATTCTTTATTATTTTCAATATATTAAAACAGGTTACACGTTCCCTATATATAGATGCTGAAACACCTAATTTCTAGGGATATATACAACTTACCTAGAATAGGGTCAAATCTATCTAAAACATAAAGAAATAAACAGGAAATAAATATATACAGATATGATAACAAGCTACCAGAATCCCCTAAAAATATGGAACAAAATACTGATCTGTTTAACTCTGGATTTCCTTAATTTCGGCCCTCTAACACGCAAACAAATATGCATTCAAACTAAACTCCAAATAATTCTACACTCCCCCACAAGCTGGATGGTAAATGTTAATTAACCCCAGCTTGGAACTTAGATCATCAAAAGTCTTTCTTGGTAGAGCCTTAGTAAGAATGTCGGCTGTTTGAAGACATGTGGGTACAGATAGCATTTTGATCATCCCTTCCTCTATCTTCTCCTTTATGAAGTGCCGATCAATCTCCACATGCTTAGTTCTGTCATGATGGACTGGATTCTTGGCAATGTTGATTGCTGATTGGTTATCACAGAACATCTTCATAGGTTCTTCACTAGAAATTCTTAATTCCTCTAGTACCCTTCTTAGCCATATTCCCTAACAAATACCATGGGCCATTGCCCGGAATTCAGCTTCTGCACTGCTCCTTGACACCACTGATTGCTTCTTACTTCTCCATGTGACTAGGTTTCCCCACACATAAGTACAATACCCTGAAGTTGATCTTCGATCTTGTACTGATCCTGCCCAATCTACATCACTGAACACCTCTATGTCTCTTCTTTGATTCTTCTCAAAAAATAATCCTTTCCCTGGTGTTAGCTTCAGATACCTTAGGATTCTATACACCGCCTCCATATGTTCTTCATTTGGATTGTTCATAAACTGACTTACCATGCCGACAGAAAAACCAATGTCTGGTCGTGTGTGAGAAAGGTAGATTAGTTTACCCACTAGCCTTTGGTATCTGTCTTTATCCACCGGTGCACAATTTTCTTTAGTGCCTAATTTTGTTGTTGAATCCATAGGTGTGTTCGTTGGCTTACATCCAAGCATCCCAGTTTCTGTTAATAGATCCAATACGTATTTTCTTTGGGAAACACAGATTCCCTTTCTTGACCTTGCAATTTCCATACCTAGGAAGTATTTGAGCTGTCCAAGGTCCTTTATTTCAAATTCCTTAGCTAGAAGACCTTTGGTAGTATTGATTTCTTCCTCATAATCTCCTGTTAGGATAATGTCATCCACATATACAATGAGGATAGCCAGTTTTCCTGCAAATGAGTGTTTGACAAACAAGGTGTGATCTGATTGACATTGAGAATAGCCATGATTCTTTATTACCTTGGTAAATCTCTCAAACCAAGCTCTTGGTGATTGCTTGAGCCCGTATAATGATCTTTTAAGTTTGCAAACTTTGTTGTCAGTTTTCGGTGTCTCAAATCCTGGAGGGATTTCCATGTAAACTTCCTCAGCTAAGTCCCCATTTAGGAAGGCATTCTTGACATCTAGTTGGTGAAGGGGCCAATCAAGATTTGCAGCTAGTGATAGGAGAACCCGAACTGTGTTTAACTTGGCTACTGGGGCAAATGTTTCCTCATAGTCGATTCCATACGATTGAGTGAATCCCTTTGCCACTAGTCGTGCCTTGAAACGATTAACACTTCCATCTTCATTGTACTTGATTGAGAATATCCATTTGCATCCTGCTGGCCTTTTTCCCGATGGTAATTCTGATATTTCCTAGGTGCCATTCTTTTCAAGTGCATTTATTTCTTCATGCACTGCAGCTTTCCACTCGGGAGATCCAAGGTATGTTATTTGGGACCTGAGTGCTGTCGAGGTTGGCAACAAACGACTTGAATTTTGGTGACAGGCCTTCATATGATATAAAGGTATATATAGGATGTTTTGTGCAAGTTCTAACCCCCTTCCTCACGGCAATAGGATAGTCACTGTCGTCACCAGTTAGTTCACTCTGTGAGGATTCAAGATTAGGATTACCTGAAGGATCTTCACAAGATCTTGGACTAGGATTAGATTCTTGGTTTTGCTGCAGAGATGCTGGATCTTCACAAGATCTTGGACTAGGATCAGATTCTTGGTTTTGTTGCAGAGGTGCTGGTGGTTCCATCTCCTTTTGGTTCTTCCTCCTCCGTGAATAGGTAATCAACTCATTATTAGTTGTTGATTTACTAGTGTCCAGATTTTGGTAGGAAGATTCTAGGGAGAGATGTTTAGAATTTGGTGATGGGTGAGATTGGTCAGGATTTAAAGAGAGCTAAACTGATTCATCAATATCCCAAATTTGATATTCCTGAGTAAAATTGGTCTCCCCCTGAATATCAGATTTAGGGTAATAGGGCTGGTGCTCAAAAAAGGTAACATCCATGGAGTGGTAGTACTGTTTAGTGTCCGATGAGTAGCACTTATACCCCTTTTGAGTTGGAGAGTACCCAAGGAAGATACACTTAAGTGCTCTAGGATCAAGTTTATCCCTTTTATGTTGATGGACATGAACAAAGGCTGAACACCCGAAAACCTCGAAGGGAATAGTGGAGATGAGACGTGTATTTGGGAAAAACTGAAGTAAGGTTTGACAAGGACTTTGAAAGTTGAGAATCCTAGATGGCATCCGATTTATGAGGTATGCCGCAGTGAGAATAGCTTCACCCCAGAAATGTTTCGGTACATGAGTAGAAAACATAAGAGATCTTGCAACATCTAGAAGGTGCCGATTTTTCCTTTTAGCAATTCCATTTTGCTGAGGGGTATTGACACATGAGCTTTGATGAATGATGCCATGACTCAAGAGATAATCATTGAGTATGAATTTGAAGTATTCTTTGGCATTGTCAGTTTTCAGAATTTGGATTTTGGCTTGGAATTGAGTTTGTATCATGGTGTTAAAGTTTTTGAAAATCTGACCTGCCTCTGATTTTTCTTTCGTGAGAAAGACCCATGTAAGCCGAGTGTGATCATCAATAAATGTAATGAACCAACGGGAACCAGTCACATTTTTTATTTTAGATGGCCCCCAAACATCACTATGAATCATTGAAAAAGGATGGGATTCTTTGTAAGATTGGTTGGGATAAGAATTATGGACATGTTTAGAGAATTGAAAAATTTCACACTTGAACTCATTTGGATTTTTATTATGAAATAGAGAAGGAAACAGTTTCTCAAGATACAAGAAATTCGGATGTCCTAATCTATAGTGCCATAACATGATTGCACTATCATTATTAGAACAACTGACAGAAAAAGAAGTAGGATTACCAGACACTAAACAATCGGACTGATAAGTTGTGCCTTGAGGAGGATTTGTAACCTCGAGAAGATAGAGTCCCGAGCACATTTTAGCACTGCCAATCGTCTTCCCCGAGTCCAAGACCTGAAATTCACACATGGTTGAACCAAATTTAGTCACACAATTCAGGTCTCGAGTAAGTTTACTAATTGACAGTAAATTGCAATTCAAATTTGGCACAAGAAGGACTGATTCAAGTGTAATATTCTCTGATACTTTAATAGAACCTGTACCAACCACTTTTGAGAGTGAACCATCGGCTATTCTAACCGTTAAGTGTTTATCACATGGACTGTAAGTAGAAAATAGGTTCTCATTTCCAGTCATATGGTCTGAAGCTCCAGAATCTATAATCCATGGATTTGACGTCTCTTTTTTAACATTGAGAGCGCTTAAAAAATTACCTTTTTGGGCTAAGGACCCAGTACCAACCACAGTGGAGGTTTGGGCATACAAAGACTGGTTGAACAGCTTCTGTAGAACCTCTAATTGTTCCTTGCTGAATGGAGTAGGTTCAGGTGAAGGTTTGTCATCCATTGAGACAAAATTGCCTCGCCCCTCTTTGTCGTTGGCAGACCGGGAAGACTTCCAATCTGCAGGCTTACCATGAATTTTCCAACAAGTGTCCCTAGTGTGACCAGGTCGGTTGCAGTGATCACACCAAGGCGTCCTTTCTTTGGTTTGGTGTCATTGGTGTTGTAGGAGTTCCCTCTAACAGCAAGGGCTGAGCTCTCAAGACTTGTCATTGGTTCTTGAGAGCCCATCATGATTTTCTTTCGACTCTCCTCTCTCCGGACTTCAGAAAAAGCCTCCCGAATATTAAGTAGAGGTTTAGATCCCAAGATTCTTCCTCTTACTTCATCTAGATTTTTATTTAATCCAATCAGAAACTTATATATTCTCTTCCGTTCAATGATCTGTCTATACCTGATTCCATCATCTAGACAGCTCCAATTGTGCTCCTCGAACAAGTCCAGTTGTTGCCAATAGCGGTTGAGTGTATTGAAGTACTGGGTTACTGTTAAATCTCCTTGACATAAGTCATGGAGAACACTCTCCACTTCAAACAGCTCAGATGTATTCTCATTGTTGGAATACGTCTCCTTTGCAGCCTCCCAGATTTCCCTTGATGTTTTGTAGAGTAGGAAGTTCTCTCCGATTTCATTTGTCATGGAATTGATGAGCCATGACATGACCATATTATTCTCGGAATTCCAGATTTTGAACTTCTCATCATCTTGGCTGGGCTTGGCAGCCACTCCTTTGAGATAATCATCTTTTCCTCTTCCGCATATGAACATCATAACAGAGTGGGACCATTGGAGATAGTTGTTCCCATTCAGTTTGTGTCCTGTAATGGGCATTAGATTGCTATCTCCACTACTGTTACTGGAGGCCATGGCTACCTGGTTGGAGGTTATTTGAGACACGGAAGCAGTTGAGTCACTTCTGCCGTATTTGGTCATATGAGGGATTTATGGTTCAGAGAATACTCTGATACCATGCTGAAAGTAGAGGAATTCTTTATTATTTTCAATATATTAAAACAGGCTACACGTTCCCTATATATAGATGCTGAAACACCTAATTTCTAGGGATATATACAACTTACCTAGAATAGGGTCAAATCTATCTAAAACATAAAGAAATAAACAGAAAATAAATATATACAGATATGGTAACAAGCTACCATAATCCCCTAAAAATATGGAACAAAATATTGATCTGTTTAACTCTGGATTTCCTTAATTTCGGCCCTCTAACACGCAAACAAATATGCATTCAAACTAAACTCCAAATAATTCTACATATAGCAATAGACAATACACTCAAAGGAAGGACAAAAGCATGTAAGCATTCAAATGAATATCTTCAGGATCAAAATTAAAGGACATCGCTATAATTTCATATAAAATGTCCTATTAACAATAGAAACTGTGATCATTTAGTTGATCTAGCAATCACTACTCTTCATAGAAAATAATCAACTTTCTAAACGACAGAAAATAATTGAAACAGAAACTTATAAATTTTAAGGCTAAATGTAGTTTCAGTTAAATGTATAATGTCTACACATGGAAGTGAACAGAAAAACCAATGAATAAAGTTATCGATACAATCAAAATAACCAAGCCATCATACTCAATGGGAGCCTTGAATGCATTCAGTGTCTTTGCAGCTTCATCCAAATTCTTCTTGGCCTCTTTTTCCCTCTTTTGGGCTTCCAAGTATTCAGTCCTCTTCATATCATACTTCAGCCATGGCAATTTCTTTTTCATAGAATCAACCTAAATTTACCACAAAAACACTTCAGTATGTTTTGAAGCAACTAAGGTAATAAAAAATAATGAGGCAAACCTTTTCTAAAAGTTCATCTCTTTGGCGAACACGCTCAACGTCTTTTTCTTGCTCAGCATTAAGCGCTACCAGCTGTTTCAAACTTTCTCCCATTGTGTCTACAGCCTAATAAAAATGGGTGAAGTTCAAACATAATGGTTTGTAAAATAACACCCAAAGAATTAGAGTTTGATCTCACTTTTTGATATTTTTTTAGTTCACGGCTTTTTTCTACAAGGGCACAATGTTGCACAGGAAGTTGAGGATCACCAACTGCTTTTTCGGTCTCTTCTAGGAGCTGAATGGGAGTTAATTTCGCAAACTCACAGACACGATCTTGTGGTAAGAACTATCCCAGAAAAGAACCAACCCACCCCCACAAAAGAGAAGGAAAGGAACATGAGCGAATACCGGTAACCGAACTGTCAAATACAAGGAGAAAGAAAAGAAGAAAACACGGGTATTTGCAGGCATGACATAAGTATTATCAACTTCAACCAAGAGAAAATTAAAATTTCAAAATCCAGATATCAGTTACTGAATACAATATTAGAGAATGAAATATGAACTTGTATCCAGCCAAGTAACCAAATAGAACTTAGAAGTACCGAGATAAATTGATATTATCTATCGCTAGAATTTGAATAAAAAAATCGGCATCCATTAATCTCCATCACAAATATGATTTGGTTGAACAAAACAAGGGAGGGGAAAAAGGGACACGCAGAGGGAGTTACAGGAGAAAGTCTAATGTAAATCACAACCGTTCACCATCTACTAAAATGCGAGATAATGCACCAAAGCATTACAGAATGGGCGTCAAAGTCTTTTTTTTTTATAGAAATTACAGGCCTCATTAAAAACCCCCTTCTTGATTAAAGGAATTCTTGGGAAAGTTCCTTAATCATTGGAGGGAGGAAAAGAGTGCCTTAGGATTTTATTGATCAGGGACTCATTACATAAAATACAACCAAGACACACTGTCAAAGTCTTAATGACTATATGTTTGTGTTTAAGACTCAAGGCTTCGTATTTTACATAGAAGCTGCTATTAATTAAAGCTTGATGAGAATAAATGTATAAAGTGCAAAGCTGAACTCCTCTAGCTTGGATATTAAGTCAAACCACTTAAAAATGCTGAATTATGAATCTTTTAGACTCTAAGCAGGTAGAATCTGCATGAGATAATAATATATGGGACTTCAATTTGGATCTATGTTCAGCAACTTCTTTTTCACTTACAAAACAACCTCAAGCAAAGCAGCAATATTGCATTATCATACACATACTCTTCCTCCAGTTTAGTTATTAAAACCCTAAATTCATTGAAAAATATTGCAAAAGACAGATTTTAAGAAAGACATTTCCCCCCTGAACTCTTCTACAGTTTTCCAACAGAAAACAATTGTAAAGCTTTTTATTGAACTATTGAAGCATTGAATCGGCCCTGTTACGATTGAAACCTTACAATATTTCAAGTTATTCTTTTAAAAAGTAAACATCCATTTCCAGATGTTAATGTTCAGTATTGCATCTTGCTAATATTTAAAGCGAAAAGCATGGGATAAACAAAAGATATGAAAAGAAATGCAGCTCAACAAAAAACTTTGTGGAATATGCTCAGAACATAAAATCTTGCCAACAAATGTTTGAGAATCTGATTCATCAGATCACATAATGTCCTCCAAAAAAATCTCAATAGTTTCCTTTACTTCAATCTTTCAATAAATAATCGTTCATGAATATTTACCCAAAGCACACTTGTATGCACCTTTTGTCTCAAAAGGCAACCAGCTGATCAATAGCATCTTGCCAAAAGGCTTTGAGGCAGTTCACTTTATCTAACCTTAGAAACTAGGCACACCTTGATAACGATGGAGCGAAGCAACAAAAGATAGTTTACAGTGACCGCCTCTAAAAAATATTCATTTATATCTAGTCTCCCAAATGAAATTTTTGCAACATGAAAAAATTGATATGAAACTATTATGACAAGCAAGTACATACAAAACAAACTCCGTAGACAATACGCTCAAAATACAGTAAAATGATATATCAGACAGAAACATCAAACATGCAAATTCAGTCATGAATGTTAGTTAAGAAAGATGACATGTAACTTCCAAACCGTAGTTCTAAAACTCACTTGTGTCAAATTGTTGACTTGGATGTTGAATTTTCGAATTACTTCCAATATCTCTCTTTTGGCCATAGGTTTGCCTGAATCAACAAATCATTGGTAAGTAAAACCATATTATACTTTTTTCTTAATGTTCCTTCTTTCCAATAAGAAAAATACTAAATCAAGTCTATAACCCCAATGGAGAGTTTCCTTCCATAGAGAGAGAGAGAGAGTTTTCACGACAACTAATCTATAAGAAAGTGGGACCATACACAAAGAAGAACAGAACATAGAAGATATGTAAACAAGCCCTAGAAAAAGAATAATGAACACCTTATATACAAGGTAACAAATATCAACCACTGAATTTAACTAAAAAAATCAGGCCAGTTACAGCCAATCCACCAAAAGCAAAGAGAAACTTATGTGCTATGTAAAATTATAGTACAAAAAACAAGAAGTAAAGTCAACCAATACAGTGGAAATCTGAAAAATTTAAGTACAAGTAGCTCCTAAGTTGACTTTATAGCCCCTTCCAATCAAATCCAACCAGTAAATATATATATTCCATGATTGACCAAAATGTTCGAATAGAGAATGAGCCATATCAAGAATTTAACATCTAACCATTGTACAACCACTCTGACTTGTTACGAATATCTATTTTACGGACAATAGTGATCTGCTCTTCCTTAGTGTAGCCCCTCAAAGAAATCTTAACATATCCTGCATCTTCCCCTCGCTTCACATATGCACCAATACTTGTGGCCCTCCCAAGCAGCTGTACAGAGTCAAACACCCTTTGTCTTAAACAGGCTACAAAATATAAGCTATAGAGTCAACCAAAGAATACCAACCTGAGGTTCACCGCCCAGACAAAGTGCAATAGCACATACAAGAGAGCTCTTACCAGAACCATTTGGCCCTATGACAAGGTTTAACCGAGGTCCAGGTTTGCATACCAAGTGATTGAAAGTCATAAAATTGTGGAGCTCAATCTCGGTGATATTTCCTGGCAAATAGTCATCTTCGCCCCTGGACAAAAAAAGTGAAAAATCCATTTATCCCAATTAGATGATTGCTCAAAATATGATAATGAGAAGTATAATAATAAAAAAATCTCAATTCCCTTTTTTCCAGTGTTTTGAAAACCGCTGCCTAGTCCAGTTTAATCTACACCGGTTGAACCGTTACTAGTGAACCGGCCGGAACCGTTGAACCGTTCAAACCAGACCGGCTGAAAACCGGAAAAAACCGCCAATTTTATTTATTTTTTAAAAAAAAATTAAACCAAACGACGTCGTTTGTTAAACGAGTCAAGTCGAACTCGAGTATTGCTGAGCTCGACTCGAACTTGAAAACTTTAAAAATAAGCTCAACTCGACTCAAACTCACGAGCTAAAAATTATCAAGTTCAACTCGAACTCGAAATATAATATTGAAACTTGAACACAAAAAGGCTTGAACTCAAAAAAATTTAGAAACTCGATTAAAACCTAAAATTCGAGCTTGATTGAAGTGAAAGAATAGTTTACTCAATACCCACCAAAAGTCTCCATGATTTTGAATGTCAAATTACCTCTACTATTTATAGAAGTTAGTTGTAATGCTCTTTTATGTTTCTTAGTCATGTGGGATTGTTTTGTTCTCATATTTTTACTCTTTAAACTTTTGGGATGTTATTCTATCTTTCTTAGTCATGTGAGATTGTTTTTAAAGAAAATTAAACCAAACAATATTATTTTGTTATGATTTTTTTAGCCTCAAATTTATTTTTTAATTATAATTATATTTATTATTTAATATGTTTTATCTTAAATATTATATTATAATTAATTTGAATCATTTTGTTTCAATTGATTTTATGGTTTTTAACTTATATATGTTATGGCTTGTTTTAAATATAATTTGTTATATAAAAAATTATTTTTTATTAAATATTTTTAGTATTTTTATTTAATTTTTTAAATAATTATGACGTCGTCCGATTCTTTCGACCGGTCGGACCGGTTGAACCGGTAAACCGATAGCATGATAGATTCGCTAACCGGTCCAATTCTGAAAACTATGCTTTTTTTCTCACATTTCCCTTCTCCCACGGACACATTTTCTCGGGAAACAAACAGACAAAACATGTGAGAGCCCAAATAACTCTATCTCCTCTTATCACCAACAAACAAAAATTCGAAGTTCAAACGCTCATTCTCTCAAACTGATCCTCTATGTGCCCCCACAATTTCCCGCGCTTTTTCGGTAACCAGTCGTGACACTGAATTTCACTCTAAAGTAAAGATAAAGGAGATTCTTTTCTTAAAATATAACCCTAATTTTTTAACCCTGAAGAATACAACAGCAAAAAAAAACAAAAAAGCATAAAAGAGTAATATCACCTTGAAATTTTGGGGCGCTTGACGCGAGGTTCCTCCATTGGAAGAACAAGAAACAACGAATTGACCAGACAGTTGCAATTAGAACGGTGACTTTAGGCAATGAGAATTTATTTAGGACAGAAGTAAAACCAATTGAAACCGTGGAAGATGATTGAATCAGACCAATCATCCATGGAATTAGAAAAACCCTAATTTTCGAAAGAGAAAGAGAAAGAGAATGTGTATAAGCTAGTAATGGCGGGAAACTAAAAAGCCGACCCGAAGAAAGGTTATATTATGAGTAGGCCCACCGACATGATTAACTCTCTCCCATGTAATTTTATGGTTTTTTTATAATTATTTTAATTTCTTTTCTGTGATATATTAAGATATTATTAGAGAAAAAAATAAAAGTATATATTAAGTTCACAATTATGAGTTAATTTTATTTATGCTAAATATAGTGACATGTGGTATTGAAAAATTAATACTAGATAAAAATTGTTAGAAGTAATTCATGCTTTGAATGTTATGATCATAAAATCCCTCTTGCATAATTTTCATTTTTTTTTATTTTATTAGTTTTGAATGATTATAAAATATTATTTATTCAAAAATTTCTTAATCATTTAATAATAAATATACAAACATTCTTACATATGTTCTATTTGAATTTAAATTTAAATTTTAAAGAAAAATAATTATATCTTAATCACAAAAATAGTTTGATTTATTCATAAAATTATATTTATCTTAAAAATAAATATTAAAAATATGTGTATAATGTTTCTGCCTTTGTGAGTTTTGTAGTTATATACGGACACAAACTCGATGACTGTCTCATAAATTCTTTAGGGTGCGTTTGGTTCACAGAATGTAAGATTACCACTGTGAATGTAAGATTACTAGGGAATATGATTACTGGGAATGTTGTATTTTGTGTTTGATTGTTTTAGCAGGAATGTAAGATTATAGTGTTTGGTTAAAGTAATAAAAGATTATTAGAATGTATATTTGATCAAATTGTCCTTATTATATATTTGTTTTTTTTTTAACAAGTTGGAAAATATTTATATATTTTCTTTAAAAAATTAAATTCATAAAATATATATATATATATATATATATATTTACAAAATTAAAAATATAAAAAAGTTTAATGAAAGGGTAAAATTTTATTTTACCTCTGAACTTTATATAAAATTTTAATTAGACTTTTTTCGTAAATCTAAAATAGTTTAAGGATAATTTTGTAACTTAACCTTCGTAGAATTTTTATTATTCAATGACAGAAGAATAATATATTTGAAAAAAAAATTAAGGGCATTTTAGTACAAAACACCGGTAATCCAACAATACATAAAGAAATGGAGGTAATGACATTCCCGGTAATATACCCCAAAAAATCTACTATTGATAATAAAACATTACCGAAAATGAGATTCCCGACCAACAAAATATGGAAATCACACATTCCTTGAACCAAACAACCCCTTAATATATTTACTTTTCAATAGAATTACATTTTAGTTTGTAGTGATAACAAAATTTAACTTTGGATTATCACTATTACTGATAAAAGAACTTTGGGTTATTATTATTTAAAATGTTTATATTGAAAATTGTTTTAAAATTTCCAACTAAATTAGCTTTTAAATATATTTTTATAAAATTTAATTAACTAAAATATTTTAAGCAAATAAAACCAGAGTTTAAAAATACCAGAAAAGTATGACTGATATTTTAATTAGAATAAACATATATACAAATCTATTATTTTATAGTGAAAATAATTTATTATTCACAATGATTATTTTTAATTGATCAAAATATTTTATTCAATTGATTTAATTAACGTTGTGTTTACTTATATCATCTATATTATATGAGATTTGAATCAATCACGTATGATCAATATATACTTCGCATGAATCAAGTGAATCAATGTTAATAAACTGTTGTTGTTTCTTAAGGTCCCGACTTTCAAGTACCACATATGCAACAATATGAACATTCAATATTAAATGATTTAATGTCTTTAAACAAATACAACGTTGTATTTACCATAGACTAATCAAAAGAAAAATATATTGAATTTGAAATAAAAGAAAATCCTCTAATTATATTAAATTAGTAGTATTATTATTATTATCAAAAGAAAACCTTAAACTCTAAACCCTAACTCTCCTATCAAATTTAAAATATTATATAATTTAATTATTTTCTTTATATTGTTATCAATGATTTAATTTTGCACTCTTAAAATTTTATAATACTATTTAAAATTTTAATGTATCTTCTTAAAATTTTATATCGATATAACTTCTAACATCCATCCATGAATTATCGACTAAAGTTCTACCATTCCAATGAAAGTTTTAATGTTCTTTTTTTCTAAATTACTGGGTAAACTACACGGATGACTATTCAACTATGGTAAAAAAATCATTTTGACAACCGATGTTTCAATTTAATCAATAAGACCATCTAACTATTTAAATGCTTCAATCAAGTCAAGCCACATGCCGTTAACATTTAACACATCAGGTGACATGGCGACTAAAACATTTTGGTATAATTACACATTTTGCCCCTATAAATTATATATTATTTTAATTTGGTCATAATCTTAATAAATTAAAATAAATTTAACAAACGAATCAAAAAGTATCATGTGACATTGGTGACACCTGTCATGACATGTGTCATCATTTGATTAGATGACTAAATTTATTTTCCACCAATTAGAGGGTGACACTAAATTGACACAGTATGAGCCAAATCATTGAGCCAAGACAACCAATTGATTTATATTGGACAACAAATAATATATATATATATATATTATATCTTAGTATATAAATGGTTAAGAATATTTTTTATATCTCAAATTTTAAAATTATATTTTGTTTTTATTTTAATATATTAAATATTTTTATTTTTTTTAATCTTAAAATACGTTTTATCTTTATCATTAGTTAAAATATATTTGTCAAAATACCTCAACTTAAAATATATTTAAATATTTTATTATTAATTTAATATAAAAATATATATTTTCTTATTATATTAACTTTTATTTTTTTTAAATATCTTAACTTAAATTATATTTTATTCTTAAGTTAAAATATATTTTGAAGTTAAGATATTTTAATATATTTTAAAAAGTTAAGATAATAATAAAATATATATTTTTTTAAATAAGAATAAAATATATTTTTAAGTGAAGATAAGAATAAAATATATATTTTATATATTAAATTAATAATAAAATATTTAAATATTTTTTAAGTTTAATTATTTAAAAAAATATGTTTTTAAGTGATGATAAAGATAAAATATATATTTTTACATTAAAATAAAAATAAATATATTTAATAAGTTAAGAAAAAAATAAAATATATTTAATAAGTTAAAATTTAAAAATAAAATATAATTTTAAATTTTAAAATATATAAAATATTCTTTAACTTTAGGTAAAGCATTTATATAAGATTCAATATATATACTATTTTTTGTCCAAAGCATCAAATGGCTATCTTAGTTCAATGGGTTGGCATCTAATATTCTAGCCTAGCATCTTGGATTCGATTCCATCCACCCACTTGACGCTTGGTTGGATGGAATTTGTGGTAATTGGAATTTAATTCCATCGCTTTTCCATGTTTGGTTCAAGTTTTTCAAAGGAATTTGAATCTTTGATGGAATTCAATTCGTTTGTTGGAGTGAATTGAAATTTGATCACACTACCATCATCAATCATTTGGTAACTTATTCATATATTGAATAAAAATATTTTTTTATTATTTCGGGTCAGGTCGGGTTTCTGATTCATATATTCGGATCGGGTCGGGTGAAACTTTATTTTGGTCGGGTCGGATCGGGTTTTTTTAAGTGTGATATTCGGGTCGGGTTCGGGTTTAGGGTGAAAAAATCGGACCGACCCGAAAATATATATAATTCAGGTCGGGTCGGATTAAGTCACTGTTTTTATTAAATAAAAATATTTTTTATTATTTCAGGTCGGGTCGGGTCGAATTTATAATTCATATATTCGGGTCGGGTCGGATGAAACTTTATTTTGTTCGGGTCGGGTGAGATTTTTTTAAGTGTGATATTCGGGTCGGGTTCGGGTTTAGGGTGAAAAAAATCGGGCCGACCCGAAAATATATAATTCGGGTCGAGTCGGATTAAGTCACTGTTTTTATTAAATAAAAATATTTTTTATTATTTAGGTCGGGTCGGATTTCTAATTCATATATTCGGGTCGGGTCGGATGAAACTTTATTTTGTTCGGGGCGGATTTTTTAAGTGTGATATTTGGGTCGAGTCGGGTCAGGTTTTTTTAAGTGTGATATTCGGGTCGGATCGGGTCGGGTTTAGGGTGAAAAAAATCGGACCGACCCGAAAATATATATAATTTAGGTCGGGGCGGATTAAGTCATTGTTTTTATTAAATAATTTTTTTTTATTTCGGGTCGGGTCGGATTTTTAATTCATATATTCAGGTCGGGTCGGATGAAACTTTATTTTGTTTGGGACGGGTCGAGTCGGTTCGGGTTTTTTTAAGTGTGATATTCGGGTCGGGTTCAGGTTTAGGGTGAAAAAAAATGGACCGACCCGAAAAAAAAATATAATTTTACCTTATATATTTAGGAATAATTACAATAATACCCCTCTATATATAATTTTTTCAATTAAGTCAATATTTTTATTGAATAAAAATAAATTTTTTATTATTTTGAGTCATATCGGGTCGAGTTTCTAATTCTTATATTGAATAAAAATAGTTTTTGGTATATTTTTTTGTAACTAATTAACATACTCCAATTGGAATATATCGAAATATTGTTTTATCTTTTGGTAACTTATTAACATATTTTGATTGCGATGATTTTAACTTATAATGTTTATTAGCATGATTTTTATAATTTATTGAAATGAATAATCAATCAATAAAATAAAAATTTACTATTTTTAAATTTTTTATAATATATTACTACATGTAAGTTGTAAAATAAACTAAAATAAAACAAAAAAATAAGAAAGGCAATTATGTCATTTTACATTACTGAAATCAAATTCATCTGACATGTCTACGAACCAAACAGAATATGGAATTGGATTCAAATTCTATTTTCTGCCAACTAAACAGAATATGAAATTGGATTCTAATTCCTACAGATTTCAATTCCTTCACCATTTCAATTCTCTCCTAAACATTCCAACGAACCAAACGCTACCTTATTGTTGTATGGATTCCAGAGGTGTCATGACAATTATCACCAATGATACATGACACATTCTGATTTAAGGGTTGAATTTATTTTAATTTATTGAAATTAGAACTAAATTGAAAGAATATATAAGTTATATGGATAAATTGTGTAATTATACTAAAATGTTTTAACGGCCATGTCAACTACCATGTTAAATGTTAACGGCAAATGACTTGATTGAAACATTCAAATAGCTAGGTGAATCAAATTAAATCATCGACGGTTAAAATAATTTTTTATCATAGTTGAATGGTCCGTGTAATTTACCCTAAATTATTTTACAACATCAATAAATATGTAATATTGAACCCTTTTAGACGAAATACAAATAGGGAATCTACACCAACTACTCCGGCTTGTGAAGATGGTGAAGGATGTAGAGAGAAGCAGAAGAGAGAAAGATACAAATAGAATAAGTAAGCAGATCCATGCCAGTGTTTATTGCCACCATTTTGCTTCTTTCAAACATCTTCACTAAAAGGATCATCACTATTACATGCCCCACCTTCGTCTTCAGTTCATCCAGGGAACTTATTTTCATCCATTTTGGCCTCTCCTGCATTGCATCAACAACAATTCATTTCACCAGTTAGAGACTGTTTGTAGCCTGCAATGTATCTAGATGGGTAGTTTGAGTAGGCCAATCCCAGAGAAAATAAAAATTGAGCTGTGGTCTAACCCGCCTCATGGACAAATCTAATCTAGCTGTGGTTCTAATCAATATAGAGAAGACTGTTATTACCTTCATGGCGAACATTCCCAACAAGGATGAGCCCCTAAGGGCACGATCGACATTGGATGGCAATTCCGGGTTCGAGTTACTGATGAATAATCCAGACAATCCCATACCAAATATTAACATCACAGACCCAGCAAGATAAACATCTGCAACATCATACATAGTGATTCAAATATCACCTCATTTGCAGCTATTCCTATTTGCCACATCTCCAGTAATATCAAAACTTTTTATTTATTTTTATGTCAATTAAGTGTTGGAGAAGTTACCAATTGCTTCAGCCAACGGAAGAACCATATTCCCAGTGTGAATCCCTGTAACACAGCTTGTCCAATAGACCTTGTAAGCTTCAGCAATGCATACACAACCCCGCCAAACTCTCAGTAATAAGTATGTTTCAGCTTTAAAATAAGAGGAAAATCTTTGATTCCCATGAAAATATAAATAATAAAAAAATGTGGGAATTAGAGAGTACATTTAGAAAGCATAACAACGAACCTCCAACGGCGAAAAGAGCCAAGAAACGGAAGTCAAATATTGTCTGCACCAGCACGAATTAGCATAAGCTTAGGGGGGAAATGAGGATATAGGTCAATGGCGAAAGGGCAAACACCGAAACTCAGTGAATAGGACCTTTTCGATGTTTGACTCAGTGAAACGAGCAAGACCGAGTAGCGATTTACCATTAGGATTGGCTAAGGCATAGTTTAAGCTGCCTGGATCATGGGGTCTTGAGGATTCCAGTAAGTGATTTGGGGGCTGATGAGTTTTAGACGACAAAACATTTTCACCGGTTGAATGAGTTGCGGGTTGAGGGGAAGATGGGCTAAAAGTAACAAAAGTTAGGAAACAACGACGATGACGACTATGGCAGGTGTGGAAAGCGGTGGGTGAAGGGCAGCGCGCGAGGGTGGAGATGGCGAGTGGATGGGTAAAGACTGAAGAGAAGCGAGAGCCATTGGGAGGAGAGAGGACAGATTTTTGTTAGAAGGATTTTGTGTGGGGGTTAATTTGTTGGATTAATATAAAATTAATTTCTCAAATTATACTCCTTTACCATTTAGATGTTTAAATGATTTTTTTATTAATTTTAAATATTTAACGTTATAAAATTATTATTTTAAATATTTTGATCTTAATTATTGTTAAAAAATTTCGTTAAATAACACATGTTATAATTATATAATTTTAAGTTTTTTATTTAAAATAAAAGATTTAAAATTATATATATTTTTAAAATAATCCAAAATTTTTTAAATCTTGAAAGAAATTCAAAATTTTAAAAACTCATCACTGTTGTTGTCGCGTTGCAGTCACCATGGAACAATCATTCACCCATGGCCATTACTACCGCTATCGCCGCCGTTCACCAAAGCCCAAAAATTGATTGCTTTTACCCTCGATCGTTGATTTATTTTCTGTTCCGTGAGAAAATTCCATCTCCTTGTACCCTCAATTTAACTTTCGATTCTCTGTTGAACAAGGAGGGAATCGTTTCACTCAACCAAATACAAAATCTTCTTTTTATTTCAAAATAAAAGAATCCCAGTAATTCACAGTCCATATTTTTCCTGGACTTTAAAGTTTGACCTAAAAGTCTATCTTTAAACTATGATTCTTGGGACTTGGTTTCAAGTTGATCTTTTACTTAATGTTTGTTATTTTGGATCATGGTTATTTCACATTGATGTTTATTTTGTTCTTTGTTGTTGAATTTCATGGATTTAATCCATTGGAGCTTGAAAGTTCAAGTTTTTATAGATGATTATATTATCTTTTTGAGATTTTAATTTGGATTGGTTATATCGCAACCAATTGCTCAATATTCTGCTATCATCATTCAGTTTTTAGTTGGCGATGGAGGTTTTTCGAGATCCAGTTTTGATTCTGCTCGCCTTTACTTCCATCAAAGGGAAGCTTACTTATCTGTAGACATGATTCACACAAACGATTCTTGTGAGTGGGGCAAAACGTCACAAAGCAATCGAATTTTGGGTTTTGGTGAACAACAATGACTACTGTAGTGATCTTTCCAAATTATTTACTCAATTCATAAATGTTAAGGTTCGAATTCTGATCTTGCTTAAAAATTATAGTACCTCCTCCAACTAGATTATCTAGTTTTTGGTTAGCCTTGTGTTTTTTTACTACTAACCTTATTAAATGGATATTTCCAATAATGCAGATTGAATGCATTACAATATTTAATTAAATAATATTATGTAACTATTTATATTTAAGTTTTATGGTTAGGTAGGTTAATTGCCTCTTATTATTTGGGGATGAAACTAAGATTGAATTTTGAGGAAGTCAAATTATATAAGATTTAAAATGTTTTTAAACAAAAACTATTGAGGGAATAAAGGTTTGATTTCATTAATATTCAAATTTATAAGACCTAAAATTAAATAAAACTAAAAAAGTTGGGGCATGGCCCATTCTATGCTATTCATGGTTCCATCATTGCCACAATTTGAAGGAATAAAGGTTTGATTTCATTAATATTCAAATTTATAAGACCTAAAATTAAATAAAACTAAAAAAGTTGGGGCATGGCCCATTCTATGTTATACATGGTTCCATCATTGCCACAATTTGAAGGAATAAAGGTTTGATTTCATTAATATTCAAATTTATAAGACCTAAAATTAAATAAAACTACAAAATTTGAGGCATGGCCCACTTTATGTTATACATGGTTCCATCACTGTCACAATTTAAAATTGATTCATTTTTGTAATCGACGGTAGTATCAATTTTAATGTTGGTCACCGATCGTCGTATTCATTATTTTTTATTTTATTAGGACGTATCTTTATATTGTTTATTATTTTTAATTTTTAATTTTTATATTTTTATGACATGTTTTTCTCTTTCTTTATGACATATTTCATATTCCTTTTGACACTTTTTCGATCGTTTGAGTGTTTTTTTTAGGATTAGATTTGACATTGTCACGATTGGTCAATATGACGCTAATATGTTATCATGCTAATCTTTCCTATTTTGGACCCTCGTATTGAATTCAGATATGCAATTTATGTTTGTTGATAGTTTTCTCATGTCGCTTAATTCTGATTTACGATTTGTCAGTAGTCTTTCAATAACTTGATCTTCTTTTGTAGTTTGTTTGTCGATACAATCAGATTTGTTTGTATTTATCTTTTATTTGAGTTTACATTTTTAACTTTTTCCTTATGTGGTACTTATGATCTTAAGTGACTGATTTTTTGTGTTAATAGTTATAATAAAATATTCATATTATGTGTTTAAGTTTACGGTTGTAATTATGAACTTTCATTGTAATTTAGATAATTTTAATATAACACTAAGTGCTTCTATCTTAGAAAAGAAAATTAAACTAAAACCACAAACCTAAACGCCAAAAATCCTAGTGCAAAAACCTCAACAAATCCTTTCTCTCCTTTCAGAAAAAAAATGGCATCAGTTGCATTAAAAAGGAACTATCGCTGCTCTCAATAACTGCAACAGTTATATAGTGGTGGGTCGTTTGTGGTCTCATCGGATGGCTTTTTCATTGCTTGTGCGTGCGGCGAATCCATAAAGATTGTGTTCATCGAATGCCTCAACAAAATCTACCATCGAGGCCGAGTCAGGTACCATCACAGCATTGGCTTTAAGTCCCAATGATAAGCTGTTATTCTCTGCTGGACATAGTAGGCAAATTAAGGTCCGGAACTTGGATACTTTCAAATGCCTGCGCTCTTGGAAGGTCAGCCTTGACTGTTCTCTCCACCAAGCAAGTGTTACGATGATTTTGAACTTGTTTCTACAACTATGATTCCAAAAAGTGAGTTTTGATGTTGAAACAAATTATGTCTTTGAAGAACTTAAAATTACTATCATAATTTCGTTGGGAATAAAAGTGTAGCATGCTTTTTGCTTAGATGAGGTAAGTAGAAATAAGTTTTTCCCAATCAGTTCAATTAAACTGCATAGAAAAAAGCTGGCGGCAAAAGTAACAACAGAATGATGCATTACTTCAATGATTTTTTAAACTGCATGACTTATAAGTTCATATACTTTTGTGTTAAAATTATAATGAAGTATTTATTGTTATAATGACATGTGAAGTTCAAGTAAGTGGGTGTTGTAACCAACTTCAATTTCAAGTTAAGAAGAATCATGCATCAGAATGGACCTCAATTTTAACTGAGCTACATAGAATACGCCTTTAATTGGTTTACAATGGCATTTTATGATCCAAATTACTGATTCCACATTAGGCAAAGTGGTTTCTAGATGTACGACACACAGGTTTTGTATTAGTATTAATGTGTATTTAATGTTATGTTCACAAGCTTGGCGGAGCTTTTGGTCTTGTTTTTATTTTATCTTTGACTTTGAGTAGAGCCATGATGGTCCTGTGGTTGTCGATGGTGAATATGATATTGTGTCCATTAGTCAATAAGATCAAAGTACCGCATTAATATTCGCTTATAAGATATTTTCTCATGCTTAAATTCCACTATTCCTCCATATATTTATATCATAAAATAAAAATATTATTTCTTCAAATGTATACGGCTTTGCTTATATTGCATGAACTCTCCTAAAATAGCCTCAACGGTTGCATCTAAACGACACAGTTTCACTAAGCTAATACCAAAATAACAAATGATCTCTATTGTCCACTCCGTAACATCTTCAGCGCCATAACTTCTCTCCCTAAGGAACAATAAAAACCTTCCACTTCCTTTAAATTTTGCGGGAAAAAAGGAAGCAAAGGGGAAAAGAATATTTTTTTCCGGGGAAGGAAGGTTTGAACTTTTCGCCGTGAACGGAACTTCATGGAATTTAGTCTAATTATTCGTGATTTTTCTCGCGTTTTCCTGTATGGCTGTATCTTGTTTGGTTGGCTAGAAAATTGATGACAATTCATTTTTCCCTATTTCATTAGAGAATGGAAGAGAATGTACGAGTTTTTTTTTTTAACTATTTAAGGCCTCATTTATCATTAGGATATTATGTAATCAAAGTTTAGCATTCTGCCCTTATTACTCCGTTTAATTTATTCTTTTTTTTCGCAATATAATAATGCCATCTCAATTATCTAATTAGAGAACGGGCGCACGATAAGAAATCCTCTGGGTGCACGTTAGCAGGGATAACGGTTCCGAACTTCTCCCTCGTGTTTCCGGTGCTTTTCCTTTTCCTTCTCCGTTCGGTGATTCACCATCTGGGTAACCTTTCTCTACTCTCCATTTGATCCTCACTGCGGGAAAAACTTATGGATTGGAGAAATCTTTTCGGAGTTTCTGAGGGCCAAAATTTGGAGTTCTTCCTGTCTAGGGTTTGCGAAGGATCCAAATCCGTCCAACCCCACAAGAGGTGCTCGATGCTGGAATTAAGGAATGAAATTTCTCGCTTGTGGGATAGTTTCTAGGTGCTGCTCCAAGCTTCTCCTCAACGCAAAGACTTGTTGATAACCTATGGAGGAAAGCTCTGAAGAGCGAAAAAATCCAGGTTAGTATTGCTGGATCAAATCTCTTTGTATTTTCATTTGCCTCTGAAAATGCTAGGAAATGGATTCTAGAAAATGGGCCATGGAATGTTTCGAACAAAACTCTAATCCTTAGGAAATGGGAGCCAAACCTCCAAAAACTAAACTTCGACCTTTCTATTGTTCCAATATGGGTGCATCTTTTTAATGTCCCACTTGAGTTGTATAACCGCCTAGGCCTTAGTTACATAGCAAGTGCCATTGGCACTCCCCTATCCATGGACTCAGTTACTGCAACAAAAACTCACTTACAATATGCAAATATTTGCATTGAGATAGGGGTTAATGACGCAACACCAAAAATTATAGAAGTGGAACTAAAGGAAGGGATAAAGGCTACTGTTTTTGTCAAAATTCCTTGGATGCCAGAAAAGTGCAGAACTTGCAAGATCTTTGGTCATAACGAGAAGAACTGCTTGGTATCTAAGATCAATACCCAAGTTAAAAATCAAGTCTG